AACCTTGGCATCTAGTAGTGACCTTCCAATTGTCTCCTGGTTACTCCTCATGCTCACCTCCTTCAGCCCTATAGTCTGGTCTCAGTATAGCATCAAGCAGTAATCCTTTCAACAGACGAGGCAGATGGGGCCAGCCTTTTGGCTCTAACTTGTGATGCTGGTTTTGCATATTGGGCCACCCCACTTGTGATACAACTCCTTGCAAATGCACTTGGGAAGGGAGTGGAAAACGGCCCAAGTGCTCAGATTACTGCTTCCTACAAGGAAGATCCAGCGGGAGTTCCTGGGGCTTCAGCCTGTCCTGATGCCACCATCTGGGAATGATCCAGTGGATGGAACATCTGTCTCTGCCTCTTAAATCAACATTAAAAAGAAAAAACTAGGCAGGCGTTATCATTTTTAAAAAATCCATAAATCTAAAGTCACTGAAAATGTTTTTATTCCCTGATATCAAAATCTGCAATTTCTTTGAGCAAGTGTAGGGGAGTATAACTTGAATTAAATCAGGAAACATTCACATTCATTCTTTCCATAGAATTTGTTGGTGCTTGGTGGCTTTCTCCCCTGGACATCACAAAGGTCACCTGGGTGCTCTGGCAGAGGTTTTTATTTCTCCAAATCGATTCTGGCATGCTCCTTGTCACAGCGTGGTCTGGCAGATGCACAGCTTCTGTGTAAACAGGGCTGCCTCCCACAACCCACACCATGCCTACTTCACTGGCTAACTGTTGGGGTCTGTGTAGTGGGTGTGGATGACACGAAGGTGTGAGAACAGCTCCCGTTTGCATGGCCTGGCAGATGTCTCTCCAACCACTTCAACACAGCCTCACTCCATTTTTGCATGGACACTCCACCCTACTAAGAATTCTGTAATCTACTGGGGCATTGTTTGCCCCTGTGAGATGGCCTTTGCAACAACCAATGTGAGCTTGGGAGTTAGTGTTACTGATAATGTCTTGGTGAGTAGGCCTTTAACAATTTACACACAGGAGTACAATTAAACCCGTACTGCTTCTGGGCACCTTATTGTGTGCCTTCCCCTTGTCCTGGAATCTGGCTCAGACATGTAGCATGCCTTTTGGGAAATGGCTTGATAAGAATCTTACAAACTAATGAAGTGATAGGAATATGAGCTGAAACTGCTTTGGCAAAAAAAAAAAAAGTTACTGAGACCTTAAAGGTTAGCCTGTCCTTGCAACTCTTTGGAGCATAGAAAATGTAGCTGTCTTAGCCACTTTTATAATTTTTTAACCAGAGGAATTATAGGGTGATTTTATTAATATTATGAACTTTTGATTATTGTTTATTTACGAGGTTATAGAGCCTGCAGTTGAATGGGGATTTAATGTTTGAAACTTTGTCTTGGATCATTGTTTTTTTCTCTTTTGATGTTTCTCCCATTAAATGATAAGTTGTGGAAATAGAAATGTAGTGGGAATGTATTACTAATTAGCAGGTAACCACATGTGACTTGGCCTTGGAGTCCTGGCTGTCGCCTAATGGATACTAAAGAATGAATGATGGCTTGCTTTGAAGAAACTGATTATAGTAACTTACAGAATTAACTTTAAGAGCACCTGGTTGACCATGAAGTCAAAATTAATTGAACATCTGTGCATACTGGCTTAGTAAAATCAAACATTTGTGCTGAGGTTTGTGATGTGTCTAAGTAAATAAAAAGGCCAGTTTCCTCGTGAGCTGTTATAAGAGGGCACCAAGTGACAGTGCCCGTATCTTTCTTTATCACTCTACACACCCTTCTCGAGCTCCTAACTCGGCTGGAGCTGGCCTCTGGCAGCTGACTCCCTGGTTAATTTACAGCACCAGCAAGACTATGGGTGGGGAGATGAGCCCCATGTGGAGGTTCCCTGACTGGGAATGATGTGGATTCTGTGCTTGAAGTGTTGACACTTCTCAGGAACAGGGCGTCAGATCTTCCAACCCACAACCCCCAACCCTGTGTACCTTGTACTGACGAACCTGTGGACACACTTGCACTCACTCCTGAGTGGGGCAGGCCCATGTCCTGGCACATGGCGGCCGGGCAGCTCAGCAGAGGAACGACAGGGGTGGCAGCACACCCCCTGCGGTGCTCTTCCAGCGGCCTCTCTCCAACCCACTGGGTTCCCTGTGCTGCCTTCACTTGCTCCCCCGTGGTGTGGGGGCCTTGCCGATCCTGGAAGGCGTCTGGTGTGCATCCACAGTAGCAGGGCCTTTGCGGTGACTGTTCCTTCTGCCCACAGCTGCTTGCCTCTCACTCCCAATCCCACCCCCAGGTTTAGTCTGTGTATCAGTAAAGAGAAAGCAGTATTTAGACAATGAAAATGTGACCAGACACCACCCCCGTCAAACATTGTGCCACAGTGGGTTAAACCTTGGCTTGCCATGCTGGCATCCCAGGAGTGGTGATCTGTCCTTGCTGCTCCACCTGTCTAGCTCCCCAATAGTGCACCTGGGAAAACATTCAAAGATGGCTCTAAGGCTTGGGCCCCTGAACCCACATGGGAGACCTGGATGGAGTTCCAGCCTTCTGGCATTGGCCTACTTCAGTCCAGGCAGTTGTGGCCATCTGGGGAGTGAACCAGAGGACAGAGAATCTGTCTCTCCCCCTTTCTAAGTCTTTCAAATAAATCTATATATTAAAACAATTTTCTCAGAGCTTTTTAAGTTAAAAATATTAATAGACAAAAAACCTCCCTTGAGCGTCCAAGTTTGGGGACACACTGCCCCCTAGTGGCCCCTCTAGGAAAAGCCCATCTTTCAGAGCATTTACAGGTATTGCCTTCACTGGGACTAGTTCTCATGTGGAGCCTCCCCACCTTGCAGGGACCCCAGGCTGAGTCTCAGGAGCTGTCCCTGCTATTTGTGTGGTGGTGAACACATGATCAGACTAGGAATTTTAGATCGCCATCTGTTCACTGACTCATCTCTGGCTTTCATTTTCCTCTGGTGCTGAACGGAGTGGGAATATACACTCCCTTGGACTTTGAGCCTGCTGCATCCGAAGTACTCACTAGCTGTCACCTGCAAGGACAGGTGTGGGCAGCAAGTGGTCGGGTGCTCAGTTCCCTCCCTGATCCCCTAAGGGTTTTTACAGACTCCAGAGGCTTGACTTGCTGGGAAACCAGGTTATTCCATCCACAGTGGTGCATGTGGTCACAACTTTGACAGATAGATGTACACAATATCTTTTGCAAACAAACGGCCCAGGAGCAGGCAGTTGAGATTCCAGTCGTTCAAGTGGGTTTCCTGCACTGCCTGCACCCATGCCCTCAACCCCACTGAGTACACCTTTAGGGGAAGCCAAACAGTGACTTTACAAGGCCTGGGGACAACAGGGAAGGACCTGCAAGTGCATTCTCAGGGGAAGCCAACTGTAAAGAAAAACAGTCAAGGTTATTTTATGATATGGAAAAATCTCTTTTAAGTCTTTTAAGTCTTAAACCTTCACTTCAATGTCCACGAACAAAATGTTAAGTCTCACACAAAGTCTAAATATTTACTCTCTGGCCTTTACAGACAATATATACTGACTTCGGCTGGCCATGCTGCTCCAGGCATACGGATATCAGGGGTTCTCTGTGAACAAACTGACCCCCTTTCCATCTTTGCAGCCTCACCACTCTAGGGCCCTTCAGTTCCCCGCCTGCCCTGGACAATTCACTTGCAAGCCCCGCAACACACCACAGGTCCAGGATGTCTCCAGCTGGCCACCTGCCTTCCCCAGGCAAGCTTGTTCCTTCTCCCAACAGCAGCTTCCTGGGCCAGGCCTTAGCTCCAGGGCATCTTCCCATAACCCTCCTCAACCACAAGCTCTAGCCCAGCCCCAAAACTGGGCCTCAAAATACTCCTCTCTGGGCTCGTCAGCACTTGGTAAGAGGTTACCAAAATATTTATGCTGGATTGAGCAACATCTGGGGAAGAGGGTTCACTGCATGACCACCTGTACATCAGGTCACACTGGCTTCACATAGCCCCAGCAACAGGCTGGCACACGTGCACACACACCAGAAGGGGCCTGCTGAGCATTCTCCCCTTACCTGAATAGCAGCATGGAGAAGCATGCTCACATATTTCCTGACTCCAAACATCCTTCTTCCAGACTTGGAGCACTTATGGTGGGTCAGGCATGACCAGCTACGCCCCTGGCACTGTCTTCACCACAACCTGGGGATGGTACGGGCAGTATTCATTCCACTCTACCAAGGGGGAGAGCACCTGCCTCCTGCTTCAAAGATTGTCCACAAATTCAGAGGCTTCCTGTTGTGCACGGTGCCACTGATGCTGTGCCAAATGCACGCTGGTTTCTCATTCCTCTCCAGCTGCCTGTCCCTGCCACTGGACCTGATGCCTTGACACTGTCTGGGGGCGGGCCCACGGCCACGATGAGTCTTTCTATGAAAATCTAGTGATTGTGTTTGTGACCCTGCTGGTACATTGTGGACTTGTGGTTTATCGCAGCAGAGGCAGTTGCTTGAAGTCTGGTCTCCAAGCCAGAGGGGAAGTCAATGCAAACAGGACCAAACTAAGGTAAGTGTCAAAGCAGCCACCAATGGAAGAGTTTAAAGAACAGCTCAAGCGGGCACCTGGACTGTCCATACCTTTCAACATTCAAAGAGAAGTCCAGAGCTCAGGGCATGGCAAGCGAACATGTCTGCTGAAAGCCTAGGAAAAAGTAACACAGGATGGTGTGGACGTGCGACTCTTTATCAAGCAGAGAGGAGTTAGGGCTACATGGGTCTGTTCAGAGCCCAGTGTGAACCTGGAAGGACATGCTTGCTCTGTATCATCTCCCATGAGAAGGGATGGCTCAACTAACACTGCACAGGCTTGCTGAAATAGTCTGAGAAACACCAGGGGTTTAAGAAAATGGAATTCTATAATGGAATCTGACCCTTCTCCTACGTCTACAACAGACAGAGCTGGGAATCACAAACATAGAGCCAGTCAGATTTCCTTCTCAGAGTTCTTGGCCAAAGAACTGGCTTGGTATACACGTGTACCAATTCCACGCTGTGTATTTCAGATGGAGAAATCAACAGTGCCTTTCTACAGATGGCATTCAGTTAGGGTAAAGCAAACAGGGTCTGTGTGGCATTCCATGTATGTCAGGACGACCAAAAACTGGTGAGACAATGACTAAGGTGCCACAAAGCAGATTTCAGGCTAAAATTCTGGTTTGTCCAAGGAAAGTCCAACATTCCCCCAGCCCTCAGAGCAATCACAGTGACAGTGAGAGAAGCCTCTTCAAATACAGGACTGAACGGCTAGTGATTGCACAATGAGGGGATCTGGTCACACAGACAGACACACGAGGGTGTTTCTGACCCATTCATGCTCCGCATGTGTCAGGAGATGGCGCGTGTGGCTGGGATTCCCGCAGACAGAGCGAGTGTGACGGGTCTGCCGGCGAACAAGCATCCACTGCAGCTCCCCTCGCTGTGACCTAAGTGCATCTGGATCTGTTCAGTCTTGGACATCAAAGTAGTCAATCACCGGCTCCTTGGCCACTCTCTGTAGATGACTGCTGCCAGGGTTCCTGTAAAGCCGACAAAGAACAGCTCATCACTTCTCTGTGGGGAAACAGATGGAGGTCCTGAGACTGTGAAGCTCTGATAAGCTAGCAAGGCAAATGTAAGCTGGGAAATGGTCGAAGTCTGGTGCCAGACACACAGAAACTCATTTTATGAGGGGTCCTCAAAATCTTCATGGAAAATGCGCATTGTGAAAAACACTACACATGGATTTCAAAACATTTCTGCATGAAACACACTTATCTTTTAGTTCAATTTCCACAAAATCCTGAAGTATGCTCATATTAATGTTCTCTTGGGACATGCATTTGGCATGGTGGTTAAGATGTCACTTGGGATGTGTATTTCCCTTATCTGAGTGCCTAGGTTCAAATCCTAGCTCTGCACTTGATGTCAGCTTCCAGCCAATGTGCACCTGGGAGACAGCAGGTTACAGTCTGAGTGGTTGGGCCACCCCAACCACCCAGGAGGCCTGGAATGAGGTCAAGCTCCTGGCGTTAGCCTGGCCCAACTCTGACTACTATCAGCAGTTGGGAGTAAACCAACAGATGGGAACATTGTGACTGTCTCAAAGGAACAAAATAATAATAATATTATTATCTCAACTGCAAAATATTGCTTACTAAAGTTAAAAAAAAAAGCATGCAAAGGGAAAAAAAAAAGAAAAGACAGCCTGCTATAAACAGGTCAACAACATGTGGTTATGTCTAAGAGGCACTGGCCACGGCTGTGGCCATGTCTTGGAATATGTCTCATGTTTCTAAAACCACTGCCTATGAGGATCTGTAGACCAAGCTGACTGGGTCAAGTGGAGTGGGTCCTGACCAGCTACACTGCTCCAGATGCTCTGTGCTGAGACCGTGCTCAACAGATACCCACTGCCAATCTAGTCACACGGCAACTCCAACTGCCTATTGGACACTCATTGGTGACTTGGCAATCACCAGTCATCCTTCTGGAGATTCTGTGCAGGACCCACAGAAGAGGCATTGTTAAGTCTTCCATGTGGCAGCCAGAACAGGAGCAGGGACCCTCTGGGCTTCAGAGCATCTTTCAGCTCAGTTTCCTTGCTCGTAGGAGGGCAGCTCTGCTCCTCCTGATAAGAGGCAGAGAAGAGACGTGAACAAACTCAGCAGGTTTGCTATTTGCTAACCTGTTTCTTTGCTCTTTAAGTCACAAAATGTGTTATTATAAAAATGACTCAAATTACAGGGAAGTAGAGCAAAACATCGAGGTCCTCATACTCCCCCTCCCATCCCCATCACTGAAGGTCCGCACCCCAAACCCCACTTCTATCTTCTGAGTAACCGAGATGTTCAGACTGAAACCATGTGGCAACGCAGACTCATCTGCTTGCCGCCATTTACCTGTGGAAGCTACCAACAGGGTCCGTTCCCCCAGTGGGGGAACTGAGCAAAACAAATAGGAACCTTAGGACCCCTCCCACTTGAATAAGTGTGTCCAGCAGCTCAGTCAAAAACATAATACCCAAAGGCCAGGCCTGAAGCCACCGATGGCCAGGCCAGCCTGTGCTGCCTTCTCTGAACGACAGGTGCCTGGAAGAATTGCTGCAGAATCCTTACTTGTCCATCTGATGCCTGTGGTGAGCAATTGGTGGTGGCGGCCTGGTCTGCATCTCCCTTTCGAGGACTGCTGTCAGCGTGGTAGGAGGACAAATGGACTTCCCTCTGACAGAAGGCAAAAACACAAGGCATTGAAAAACAAGGCTCATTTGTGCAGTTAGGTAGACAGTCAGGCACTGCCTGTGGCTCTGGAACATGTGCTGCTGAACCTTGCGATATAATCTGTCTCTTCCCAGGCAAGCGACCCTGCATGTCACCCTGTCCTGCCCCTGCACCTTTGGTAGACCTGTTCCCTGCTTCCTCTCAAGCCACACTGGCCTGTTCTTCATTGGCAAGTTCCTACTCTCTGACGGGGACCCTAGTCCCCACGCCCTTCCCAACTCAACACCACCGCTTCAGCTGGCCTTCTACTCTTTACAGGGATGCCTACAGTCAGAGACCAGCATTTTTTCGGTTTTCATTATGCTAGTAGGATGGAGCCAGAAGTAGTTGGAGGGAGGCACAGCAGACAAGTGGGGAAACAGGGCAGAGGTGGGGCTCAGGCACTTGGTACCGCCCGGGCAGTGGAGCTGGCATCTCCGGCCTCTGCATCTCTAAACGGGAGGCCTGCCCTCTGCTCCCCAGCTCTGATCTTACGGTATCCAGGAAGGACTGTCCCAGAGAAGCAGGTTTTCCTTTTCCTTGTTCAAGAGGGGGAGAGCAAATACCAACACACTCTGCTCCCTGGGTCCTGTGTGCCCTTCTGACAGTTCTTCCTGTGACAGCAAGATCAACCCACCTGATGGCAGTGACCACAACATTGCGCTTTGGTTCGCTGTCATAGCTCACACTCTCCAGGCCATAAACTTGGGCCAGGTCATGGATGAGGCGGCGGTGGTCTCTGTTCATGGGAGGGAAGCAGTGGCTTCTCTTACTGTTCTTTCCCTGTTTTGAGGGAAAAGATGACTGCTTGATAACATCACCGTGAAAACACAACTCTCCTTACCACTACAGCAACCCGGGTTAGTAAGGGGTGACTGCAGTCCAGAGGTTTGCAGCAGGCAACATTTTATTAACTGCCCAGCAAGGCCCGGGGGTAGGGGGAAGGAGATAAGAGCTTAGGCACTTCTCACTTCTCTTTTGTCTTCCATCTACTCTGTAAGCCACATTTGTGACACCTGGAAAGGGCTTGGGAACAAAGTGCAAGTAAACAGGGACTTGGGTGGACAGGGCAATAATTTCTCCTGACATGTCCTGCAACATTCCCATACAATGACTAAATAAAACAAAGACTTGTTACATAAGAATATCTCACTCCTTATGAAAGTGTGTGCTACACTGAAAACCATGCACACACACAGAGACACACAGGCACAGACACAGTTTCCTCATCAGGAGAGGAACGACGTTTTCCATCTCCTCCTTCATTTCGTTCCTATTAGGAAGCAGGAACACAAAGGGGGAAGGGAAGGGCACGGGGAGGGGATGAGAAGGTGTGAGGAAAACTTTCCTCATGAAAAATGGCGAGAAAGCAGCCCCTCGTGCCTGCCACCAACCCCACTGGGATGCGGACTGGGCAGCGCTGGCTGCTGGTGCCTTTGCCCGATGAGCGGTGGCTGCTCCAGGACAGACAGAGCACTTCGCTGGATGTCCACCTTTCCTACAGGCTTTTCTCTTCCCAGGTGTCAGGGCAACAAATACCCGGTGTGACAGGAGAGCACACAGGTCTGCAGGGACCTGGGGCCTCCTATGGCTCCCATCACTCAACGTGACAGCAGAGACATCGCTGCAGCAACTGAACTGTGACACGCTCGTATGGGGAGCATAGCGGCTGGGATTTTAGAAACGACTAAGAAGTTGTAACTTTCCCTGTTACTACTCTAGGCTGACAATATTTCTGGGACTTGGTTGTTGTTGTTGTTTAAGTCAAGCTGGTCTTAGGAAAAAAAAAAGTCTATTTGGATGTTGTGACTTCAACCTTATTCACGGCCTCCACGAGTGTTTCCATTTCCTTCTCAATGTCACTGACAAACTTTAAGTCTTTTCTGAAATGAGAAAACATCACAGTTAATTTAATCTGTTCTTTTCTTTCAGAAACCCTTTTCACCAACCTTCTGACCATAAAGTGCCAACAATGGACAAGGCTGGCAGAAAACTGAAGAGGTCAGGGACTGTCAGATAATAGAAGGTCAGCTTTAATGGAACAAAGGAAGGGGAAAATATATGAGGGAGAAGAATAACAGAAACAGCCAGGGCCACGCCTCCAAGGTTTCCAAACAGTTTCAGTTCTTCAAAAACTGGAAGTTTTGGGAACCAAGAATGTTATTAACTGTTATATATCTCAACAACAGATAAACTTGAACTGGCCCAATCATACAAAGAATACATATTACATACACCATCTTAAAAGATCAATCACTCCCATGAGCTACAATTAAGAGTGGGTTAGTTACATACCTGGCATCATCTTTCAAACTATCACTAAATTTTGACCCTGAAGAACGTACGTTGAAAGGATCAGAATCTTCACTGATATCAAATGCCTCCGCCAGCCTCCTGAAAGTGTGAGAGAGGTATACCAAATAAAAGGAACACAGAGGGAGGGAAGATGCTTTTTCTTAAAATTTAATTTTTACTTAAATGAGTTAGAGTCAGTGAGTGAGCATCTGAGAGATCTTCCATTTGCTGCTTCACTCCTCAAATGGCTGCAATAGAGCAGAATCATTCCAAAGCCAGGAGCCAAGAGCTTTGGCTTGATGTCCCATTGGGCACAGGGTCCCAAAGCTTTGGGCCATTCTCTACTGCTTTACCAGGTCATAAGTAGGAAACTGGATCAGAAGTGAAGCAGCTGGGACAAACAACCGGTGGCCATATGGGATACTAACACTAAAGGTGGAAGATTAGCGTGCTATGCCATTTGTAGCCAAGGGCCCTGGGAAATGATCTTAAACAGCAATCTTTCTTAAACAGCAGATCCCCAGTGGATGCCTCAAACCATGGATAGTACTGAATCTATAAGGCACCAGTGTGCAGTACAGTGTTAAGCTGCCATTTTTGACATTGGCATCCCAGGAGTGCTGACTCAAGTCCTGGCTGCTCTGGATATTAGCTTCTTGCTAATATTTCTGGGAAGGCCAAAGATGCACATACTTGGGTCTCTGCTTCCTATGTGGGAGACCAGAATGGAGCTCTTGACTTGGGACCAACCTTGACTGCTGTGGCCATTTAAGTAAACTATACCATCCAAACAAATATTTTTCAAGACCTTATCCATACACTGTTCTTTCTCATATTTATATACATTTGATAAAGTTTAACATATAACCTAGTCACAGTATGAGATTAAAAACAATAACTTGTCAAAGATAGTCACAACTTAACCACATTTTTTTTTATTAGCTGGGGGATATTTCAAAACTTTTTCACTTTTTTTGGGAAGACTTATTTATCTGAAAGGCAGAGTTATAGGGTGGGCAGGGTGGGGGGAGAAAGAAAGAGAGAGAGAGAGAGAGAGAATCTTGTACTACTGGTTCACTCTCCAAATGGCTCAAACAACCAGAGCTGTATTGGTCTGAAGCCAGGGGTCAGGAGGTTCTTCTGGGTCTCAAGCACTAAAGCCATCCTCCAGTGCTTCGCCAGGTACATTAGCATAGAGCTGGGTGGAAAGTGGAGGAGCTGGGTCGTGAAGTGGTGCCCAGGAAGTAGCTTTACCTGCTTGGCCACAAGTGGGAAATTTTTACCTTTCATTTACAGGATACAATTTATGGCTTCTCTCAGGCATGTCTGAAACACGGTTCTTGCCCTCTGAGGTCATTATTAAGTAAACAAGGGTTACCGAACACAGACACTGTAATACCGCCACGATGTGATGGCCTAGACAGTTGCTAAGTGATTCATGGGCGGACAGTGCACAGGAGCAACATGGATTTGCAGGACAAAGGGATGATTCATGTACCAAGTGGGACAGTGTGAGATTTCATCATGCTATTTAGAATGGCACCCAAGTTGAAACTGTTGAGTTAGTGTTTCCTGGAATTTTCCATTAAGTATTTTCTGGCTGTAGCTGACTAAACATTGAACCCACAAAAATGAAGAGAGGGGACTATTACAGTAACTCAGAGTAACCACCAAGTCCAAAGTTTCTGCACATTAAGTATATCAGCAAACTTGAGACATATTCTTTAAATGGAAAGGTGGATATACAGAGGAGGAGAGACAGAGAGGAAGATCTTCCGTCCGATGGTTCACTCCCCAAGTGATTGCAACGGATGATGCTGAGCCAATCCAAAGCCAGGAGCCAGGAACTCTCTTCCTGTTCTCCCACGTGGGTGCAGGGTCCCAAGGCTTTGGGCTGTCCTCCACTGCTTTCCCAGGCCACAAGCAGGGAGCTGAATGGGAAGCAGGGCCACTGGGACTAGAATCGACGACCATACAGGATCCCAGTGTGTGCAAGGTGAGGACTTTAACCACTACATTATCGTGCCGGGCCCTTATTTCCTTTTTTTATTTGACAGGTAGAGTTAGAGGAGAGACAGAGATCTTCCATTCACTGGCTCATTCCATAAATGGCTGCATTGATTAGAGCTGGGCTGGTCCAAAGGCTGGGAGACACAAGTTTCTTCTGGGTCTCTCACATGGTACAGGGACCTCCACTGCTTTCCCAGGCCACTGGCAGGGAGCTGGAGGTGAAGCAGCTGGTAACAGAACCGGTGCCTATGTGGAACACTGGCAGGACAGGTAAAGGTTTAGCTTTTATATTACAGTGCCTTCCTCCCAGCAAACCAGATATTAAAGACAAAATAACAGCTTGGAACAAGATGCATTACTGTGATTATATAAGGAAATAGACAAAATAGATCTGAATGGGTCTGAGTGAGCCACAGATTCATCACTGGGGACTTGGAACAGGTGGGGAGTGGAAGATGGGGGAAGGGGGTATGTCTGAAATGTTACTGGGAGTGCTCCATGACGCCGACCTTCTCAGAAACTTAATTTACACCTAAGATATAGCAAACGGACATAGCAATACTGAAAAGCTTTATAATTTTTATAAGTAGTTGCAATTACACATGAAATTTCACATCTTTCCTCCCTCATCTTTATGTAACTAAAATTTCTCATGCTGCTTTTGCTGTTTTACTATTACATAATCTTCTATTACATAATTTACTTAAATAATTCCCCATTTAGCTTGCTTCCTTTAATTACAGTTTCCTCAACACTGCAAGTGACAAGATCTCTGTATAAAAAGTTTTAAAAATTATTTTCCTGGAGCCTGGTGCGATAGTGTAGTAGTTAAAAGCCTTGCCTTGCATGTACCAAGATCCTATATAGGTGCTGCTTCCGATTCTGGCTGCTCCACTTCCCAACCAGCTCCCTGCTCGTGACCTGGGAAGGCAGTCGATCTTGCATCTGCATGGAAGACCCAGAAGCTCCTGGCTCCTGGCTTTGGATTGGCTCAGCTTCAGTCATTGTGGCCGCAGTGAACCAGCAGACAGAAGATCTTTCTCTCTGTATCTCCTTCTCTTTATATCTGCCTTCCCAATAAAAATAAATAAATCTTTAAAAATAAGAATTTTCCTGAAAAATGGTTTCAGGTGTGTGGGCTCTAATGTTATTATGAACATAATATCTGACCAATGCTGCCCAAGTGGTTTCCAGAACATTTTGTGTCCTAGCTGGCATCACACATTTCATGGTATTTCCATATTTGGCAATAGGGTGAGTTACATCTTTTTAAAAACTGTTACGATGTAACTTAAAAAATTTATTTATGTAAAAGGCACAGTGATATAAAGAGGAAATGACAAAGAACACAGATAACTCCCACCCACTGATTTGCTGCCCAAATGTCCACAGCAGCCACAACTGGGTCAGACCAAAGCCAGCAGCCTGGAACCATCTGGGTCTGTCACGTGGGGAGCAAGCACCCAAGTAATCAGGTCACTTTTCACTGTTTTCCCAGGTGCATTAGCAGGGAAGTGGATGGGAAGTAGAGCAGACAGGTCTAGAACCAGCATCCGTATGGGATGCCAGCCCCTACACACTTTTAGAGCTCATATTCAGGACGAGGTTCTAGGATTTAGAGCTCCAACTACTACTCAGTACTGTCCCCACCACATACAGGTTAATGTTCATACTCTGGAGACCTACTATGCAGTTAGTACATTTCTGAAAACTCAGGACTTTAATTCACATTTGACAGGCACATTCCAATTGCATTTTTTAAAAAAAGATTTATTTATGTTTATTGTAAAGGCAGATTTACAGATAAAGGGAGACAGAAAGATCTGTCTACTGGTTCACTCCGTAAGTAGCCATAACAGCTAGAGCTGAGCTGATCCAAAGCCAGGAGCCAGGAGCTTCTTTCAGGTCTCCCATGTGGGTGCAGGGTCCCATGGCTTTGAGCCGTCCTCTATTGCTTTCCCAGGCCCCAAGCAGGGAGCTGGAAGTGGAGTAGCAGGACAGGAACCAGCACCCACATTGGATCTTGGTGAAGATTTAGCCACTGATCCATCACACTGGGCCCTCCAACTACAGTTCTTAAAAAGGGTAGGTTGTTCACACAGCTGTGCACAAGTTGCCATTGCAGTCAAACTAAGGAAAACCTGGTTTATTATTATTGGTCATTACTTTACTTTCTACACATTTATGCACTAAAGAATCACTGATGAAAATCATTCAAAGTCAAACTTCAAGGTAAAGCAAGGTATACATCCTGCTAAATCCCTGTAAGAATGGCTAAAATTAGACCAATTTCAAGTATAAAAATGTGTAGTAAACAGGAATCACCATTGTGCTGGAATGGTCTTAAGGAAGTGTTAAGTTGGTATAACACTTATTACTGTTTGGCACAATCTACTAACACTGATTCATATACATACCCTGTTAATAAGTAATTCTCCTAAATTTATATCCAATGGAAATGAGTATGTACATACAGCAAGCAAAGGGATGCTGTAAATATCATTCATTATTTGTGATATCTCAATATTGATAACAGTTGAGACTGGTGCACGCTAATCCTCCTGTATGGTTTTTGGTTGGAGTCCCAGCTGCTCCACTTCTGATCTAGCTCCCTGTTTATGAACTGGGGCAGCAGCAGAGGATGGCCCAAGTGCTTGGGCTCCAGCACCCATGTGGGAAACCCAGAGGAAGCTCCTGGCTTTGGATCGGCTCAGCTCTAGCCTTTTTGGCTATTTGGGGAATGAACCTGTGTTTTTCTCTCTGTGAATCTCTCAATAAAAATCAATAATCTTTAAAAGGAAACACAAACTACACAATGTCATCATTCGCATAAAGCTCAAAAATAGACAAAATTAACCTAAAATGCTAAAATCAGGAGACAGATTAAACTTTGGTGGCACACAATGGAGGAGCTTGGGGTAATTTCTCAATTCTTGCCCTGATTGCTAGTTACACTGCTATATTCATTTCATGACTCACCAATTTGTACACAATTAATGCAATTAATTAATTAACATAATTAAGTATTATTATACTTTAGTACAAAAATTCCCTAAGCATTTTTAAAACCTTCTCGCTAAAGTTGGAATCAGGAAGTTGGCTGATCACTGAATTAAGTGTGCTGTGGCTTTTGATGCTTGCATCATGCCCCTCAGTTCAGTTTCTGCAATTACCTGAGTGTTGAATGCTCAGACTACTCAGATCCTGCCCATCATGTGTCCCTTGCAGTGACAGCAGGAAAACCTAGAGTGGGTGCTGAGTGAATGCTGACAGGCAGCTTCCTCCCATGACATCACAGGGTTCGAAGGAGGAGAGAACAAGCAGCTGAAATTATACTCACTTTTTTCTTTCCAAGGCCGAGCACTCCTCATCACACTCCAGCCTTGACAAGCAAATGAAAAAACATCGAGTCAGGGCACAGGCTTACAGCTTCCCTCACTAGGTTTGGAAGCTGAGCTGAACACAGAGCAGACTCATGCTGCCAAAGCACTTCTCTGCAGGCATCAGTGGCCTGTGAGGCCATCGGGTTTCAGGTTTCATTAGCAACAATCTCTCCCTGCTGCCCTTCCTCCCCACCACCCAACCAGGGAATTTCATCTTCTCCCCTACGTCCTAATCAAGGGAAGGCTGGAAGAGGCCCCTTCCAAGAACAGGCAGGCAAGTCTCCTTGGAGGAGTCGAGCAGTCTACTAGGTGGGCCTCCTGACTATTTCCTGGGTGCTCAGCCTCAAAAACACTGCCTAGTGCCCCTCTGATAGCCATGGCTCCCATTCAAGCCACTACATCCATTCTGTTTCCCTGTTGTTCTGTAGGGTCGGATAGGGCTTGACGCTGGTTACTCTACAATGCTGGAGTGAGGCCTGGTAGTCTCTGCTGGTCTCTGCTATACACTGAGTTGGGATCACTGGGGTTGGAACATCTTAACATCAAACATTTGCTGAATACCTGCTGTGTGTGTGTGTGTGTGTGTGTGTGAGACTCTCCTGTGGGGGAATTAAGATAATTTCTGCCCTCTAGAAACTCAGTCTAACTGCAACAAGCTAGTATTTACACATATTTTAAAAAATTACCTGGCTTGTTGAATTTCCTTCTTGGTAATAAGCTTGCTGATCTCTACTGAATCACCAAGTTGCATGTCTGTTATCTTAGAGGCCATAGATATAGCAGCTATCCTGAAATACAATAGAAAAAAAAAAGTTACAAGAATCTCCCCATACTGGGTACACAAAATACTCCAAAGAAATTCACCATGTGATAGTTGGAGTAGATTTGTAAGCCCATCTATTAAGAACTTGTACATGTCTGTGATATGCCTTCAATTACAATTTAAGCAACTGCACAGAAAGTGATGAAGTAACTCAACTCTCAGGCCCATGCCAATGCCGCACACCAAGGAGGCTTTCAACCCGGCTCATCTGCGCCTCATACTCCTCAAAAGTCTGAGGGCCAAAACACATCTCATCGGAGATGCTCAGGCCATTCAGCCCCTAACAGCTCCACCTCTGCAGGCAGGTTCCTGTAGGACCATATCAGGTGTCAAGACTCCAGGAGGCTGCAAAGATACCTCACAGAACAATGAGAAACCCTCACACCAGGGAACGAGCAACCAGGCTGCACCCAACCAGAGGTGGGCTGTTTATCTTCCCCTTCCATGCCATGGTGCCATAAGACCCAAAGCTGGAAAAATGCAGAGACAGAAAGGAGGAAGGAAGAGGAAAAATAATGTTTATTTTATAAATAAAAGTTAATGTAGAAAAGATACATAAAGCCTTTTTAGAAAATATTTATTTTATTTATTTGGAAGGCAGAGTGACAGAGCAAGACAGAGAGATCTTCCATCTGTTGGTTCACTCCCTAGATGCCTCCAACAGCAGACAGTGCTGGGCCAGGCTGAAACCAGGAGTAAAGGAACCCCATCTAGGTCTAACATGTAAATGTCAGGTTCAAGTATCACAGGATTTGCTGCCTCCCAGAAGGCAGAAGGTATTAACAGGAAGGTGTATCAGAGAAAGAATAGCTGAGATGTGAACCAGCACTCCCATCTAGGATGTGGCTTTGCAAGCAATAGCTTAATGCCCTTTACCATGATGCTTACCTCAGAACCATTTTTTGAGCCAGAGAAATCAAATGTAAAAAAATCCAGGGTTGATGTTACGGTACAGGGACAAAGCTCCTGTGTGTGAGCCTGGCATTCCACACCACAGTGCTGGTTTAAGTTCGGCTACTTTGCTTGCTTCTTTACCTTGCCTAGTTGGGGAGTGAACCACTGGGTCAAAGTCACCCTCTGTCATTTTGCTTTTCAGATACATCTCGAAAACAAACAAAAAACCCCAAGGTCAACGTGTAGGAAGATCACTAACCTTTGGTAAGTACTGGACGCTTCAGAGCAAATCACCATCTCTTTTCTTCGTCCACATTCACACTGTAGCTCCACCTGCAACAAGATTAGCCGGGAGCGACTTTCAGCACACAAGATCCATGTGAACAGCAGGCTTCATTTAAAAACTTTTCACATATCAAAACCATGTAGCTGACAAGCTAGAAGGGATGTGTTCTATCCACAAGGCCACTTTCTGCAAAGTGCTTCAATTCTTAACCTGGTCTAATGAGGCAGGCCTAGAATGAAATTTTACCACTGACCCAGCAAGGTGGACAGTTAACCCAGATCAAAATAGAGGCAAGCCAATACCTTTACTGTTTACATGCTGGTCGTGGAGTGGGGGTAGGAGGGTTGCTTCACCCTCAATCCAGGCTACACCACCTCAGTTGTAACTAATCATCTGAGTAATCATTTGCTGAGTATTTATCCCACCAAACTGACAGGGACTACGTATTTTTTTTTCAACGGTTTAGCTTCAACATCTTGTGCCATAGACATTTACACATTCTGCTGAATATACGGAGCTGACAATACTGATCAAAGGCTGACAGACCGTGGTCAGTTGGCACTGGGTAAAAGACCACATCAAGCTAGACAGAAGTATGTATGACTGGAGCAGCATTCAGCTATGACTGAGTTGTCTTTTTCTCACACTGGAGTACCTGGGTTTGGTTTCTGGCTGACTTCTGACTGCAGCTTCCTACTAACGCACATACTGGGGAACAGAAGTGCCGACTCGAGTAACTGGTTTCCTGCCACCCATGTGGGAGACCTGGAATGAATTTCTAGCTTTGGCCTGGCCCCATCTGGGAGTGAATCAGCAAGTGGGAGACTGCTCTCTCTTAAAAAACTAGGAAGACTCAGAAAACAAAAAATAATCTGTACACTGATGTCACTGGTTACAGTTCCTTGCAACCAGGAACTCCTCACGAAGATGCAAACAGTTCTGATCCACCAGCAGCTTCAGAACCACAATCAGTGCCCCTATCAGGAGCCAGCACTACCCACCTTGGCTTTACAAGCAGTCACAGGGCAGGGTGAGCTGGTGTGGCAGGGGGCCATGCATGGGTGGCCACAGTCGGCTCTAGGAGTGGAACAGGGCTGCTTGCAGGCCTCATCCACAAGACACTCTCCTTTGTGACATAGTCTCTGACACTTGTGCATACCACATGGTAGTGTGGCACTGCAGGGCAATCCGCAGGATATATCAGTCAGGTGACAGGGGATGTTGCTACGTAGCTAGGAGAGACAGAAATATAGACTTTCATCTCGGTGTGAGACTCAGGATGAGTTTTAACTTTACCTTAACACATTTCTCAATTTATAAATGAGCATATTTTTTTTAAAGTTTTTTTATCTGAAACAAAATGCATTTGATTTTCGAAGTCTGACAGGTTAGTCTGAAAAGGAAACAAGAACGCGACACGTGTAATATTAATTTTCCAGGGTTGGTAACAGGCACACAGAATCAGATAACCAGGAAATATTTTGGGGGAAAAAAAAAGGCCATCAGTGCTGTGGCATAGCTGGTTAAGCCACTACTGGTACTTTCAGACACAGGCATCCCATATGAGTGCTGTGCGGTCTTAGCTGTTCCACTTCTGATCCAGCTCTCTACCAATGAACCTGGAGAAGCAGTGAAAGACAATTCAAGTTCTCTGGCACTGCATTCATGTGGAAGATCTGGATGAACCTCCTGGTTCCAGCCTGGCCCAGCCATAGCTGTTGCATACGTTTTGGGGCTGGATCAATAAATTCAAGATGTCTGTCTTTCCTTCACTCTTATTATAACTCTGCCTTTAAACCAAATCAATATTGGGTTCAGTGTGGTAGCACAGTCAGCTAAACCTCAATCTTCAGCGCTGGCATCCAATATGAGCATTGATTTGAGTTCTTGTGGCTCCACTTCCCATCCAGCTCCATGATAATGACCTAGGAGAGCAGTGGAGGATGGCCCAATGACTTGGGCCCCTGCTCTGCCATGTGGGAGACACAGAGGAAGCTACTGGCTTCTGGTTTCTGACATGCCCAGCTCTAGTTCCTGTGGCCATTGGGGGAACAAACCAGTAAATGGAAGATCTCTGTTTTTTTCCCTCTAAGTAAAATAAATAATTCCTTTTGAAAAAATAAATCAATTTTAAAATAAAAAAAGGAAAAGAAAAACACCATGACAAATTATTAGGATGAGATGATTTCTCCCCTCTTTTTCAAATTGCTAAGGTGCTGAACTGATAGATCAGCCCTCTTCTATCCTAATGTGTAGGGGCTCACCTGATTCAGGGTTCTGAGACTGAAGGTAGGGCTCTTTCATGGAATTAATTATTCATAATTAATTCTTGTATGCCTCAACTGATGGTTGCCAAAGTTTTAGAGTGCCCAGTTATTTAAAAAAACTAACATGTGGACTAGGCATAGGGCCATGTGCTTAAGGTACCTGCTAGGACACCTATGACTCACACCAGAGTATCTGAATGTAACTCCTGGGCCCAGCTCCTGATTCCAACTTCCTGCTAATGCAGACCCCAGGAGGCAATGATGGTGAATCAGATAGTTGTTCTGCACATCCACCTATGAGATTTGGATGAGGCTCCGGGCTCAACTCCAGCTCCCTTTCCACCATGTACATCCTAGGAGTAAAGCAGATGTGCACTCACTCTAGCTTCCAGATCAATTCCCTGCTTTTAGGCTTCCCCGCTGCAGAAAACAAGTATTGGACTTCTACTCTGTGGGACTAAACCTTACTCTTTATTATATTTACTCAAATTCTTTCAAGAACTCTCAAAATGAATATATTTCTACACCAGTGACACGTACCTTCCACCCTTGAAGAGTCCTCTGAAAACTACGACATGTGGTTGCCACTGACTTTTGGTAGGGCATAGTTCCCATTCAGGAAACCTGTACTTGATGTTACTGTCAGGGTACCAGGGCAGTTTGCGCAAATCCTCTGCTCTTTCATCTTGTCCCCACATTATTCTTCCCAGCATCCTTTTAGGTGTTACTTCCTTCAGTAGCGCTTTCTTGGGTGGGCTCCTGCCTATCCCCCTCAGCACTCTTTGTTTTCTGTTACTGCCCACTTACATGTCTGCCTCCAAGGCCACAGGAAAGCTTCCACCAAAGCCATCATGTCAGTTTTGTTTGTTTCTGAATGAATGAAACTTAGCACATAACAGTTTCTCAATCCACATCTGCTGAATGAAGTATGACTAACAAATCGACAAGATGTGTCATGAGCCACAGAATAAACTTACAGAGGAAGAATAAATGCTAAGGTCTGTGACTTGAGAACTACCACAAAAAAGTTTAGAAAAATATGCTCATCAAGATAAGAAAACAATACTGACAGCATGTTATTACAGGCATCAAGAGCTTCAGGAACTGCTGGCCAACATATTAGGAAGAAAACTAAGCAGGTTACAAAACAGTGTAATCATAATCACAGAACAGAAGAGGATGCAACACACATGCCTGGTAAATGGCACACCAGAACGTTGAAGACTTCCTTCTTGGTAGCAGAGCTATAATGAACCTGCCACTTTAAAATTCACACACACAAAATGTTTTGTTATATTTCATTTTCTAAATATTGTTTATCTGAAAGGCAGAGTGGTACCAAGAGAAAGGGGGAGACAGAGGGAGAGAGCTAACCCAAATGGCCACAATAATCGGGACTGATCCAAACTGAAGCCATGAACTTTAATCTCCACCATGACCTATTTCAGAATTTTCAGTATTCTAAATAGCTACAGTTGACAATGCCAAATACAGTTTACAAGTTCAGAATAAAAGTTCTGGAGCCTACACTATGCATGGCAGGTTACGGCACCACATGGACCCAGCATCCCTCATGGTTACTGGTTAGAATCCTGGTTATTCCAATTCTGATCCAGTTCCCTGTTCATGCACCTGAGAAGATAGTGGAAGATGACCCAAGTGCTTGGGTCCCTAAAACCCACATGGGAGACTTGGGTGAAGCTCCAGGCTCCTGGCTTTGGTCTGGCCCAGTCCTGGCTATGTGGCCATCTGGAGGAGTGACCCTCTGGATACAAGATCCATCTCTTCTCTCTCACTCTCTCAAACTCCTTCAAAATGAATGAATGAACGAATAAAAGCCCTTTGGGACACTGGAAACCTGGAAATGAGAGACGAACAGAAGGCACTTCAGCACAGTGGTGACAGTGGGAAGCTGCAGAGGGCTTAGAGAGAACAGGGGTAACAGGTGGACAATCCCGCCTTCACGCTAATGGTGCTCTCCCTGAAAGGGCTTGGTCAGGCCAGCAACCTCTGCCCATACTGGTTAACCTAGAGTCTGACTAGGTGTAATTATACTCCAAATGATACCTTACTCTATGATGCTATTTCTGTGACACTCTGGGGGAGAAAAAAAAAAAAGGTATAGTACTGAGACAGACAACAAATAATTCACTGGTTGTCAGATCCTGGAGAGCTAGGAGAGAAGGTTACAGAAGGTGTGAACAAATGTTTGGGGATGAATGAACTCTTACACCTTGATTGTGATGTGATAACAAGACTAGATGTGTACTTTTGTTAAAAGGCACAAATCTAGAAGGCAAAAATGGTGGAAATGATGAGCCAAACAACTCTGATGCAATCAAATCATGAATTTCTGGCTGGAACAATGAACACAAGAAAACCTACCTCATGCTTACCCATGCACCACTTCTGGGTTAGAAAAGTACAAGGGGGACACTTCTCCTCACTGTGACAAGAATGATACACTGCAAAAAAGACAAAGCAATCAGTGGGAAGAATTTCTGAAGCCACAAAAACTAAAATCCATGCTACAAATGCCATGTGATAACTTTCAAATTCAGGAATTAGGAGTACCTTTTATTTGTTTTACTTTAGTTTCTATTTACTCATCTTCATTTTATTTGAAAGGCAATGAAACAGAAAGCAACCTCTCATCCACTGGTTTACTCCCCAGATGTCTGCAATAGCCAGGCTGAAGCCCGGAACTTGGAACCTGGAATCCATTCAGGGCTCCCACAGAGCCTGCAGCCAGTCAAGAACCTAAGCATCATCCACTGCCTCGGGATGTGCTTCAGCAGGAAGCTGAATCAGAAGCAGAGGTGTTAGCTGGAATTTGACCCAGGTACTCTAACACAGGATGCAGGTATTCTAATACCTTAGCGGCTGCATCAAACCACCATCCAGAAGTACTTTCCAAAATGGTCACAGCAAAGTAAAAAGTTGTTACCTTTCTATCACAATGCTGAAGAACTGAATATGAGGTGGTAAAATAAACTCAATGGTGGTAGCAAGGGTGGGGGTTAGATATGCCAAGACAAACAGAGATGGAAGCATCTTTTACTCCATCCCTTGCAGCATAGCCTTTGCAGCAGTCTGCCCATTCCAGCATGACAGTATCTTGGCTCTACTTACACAGCAACTGTTCACTTATCTCTGCTGTTTAGTTCATCTAAATGCCTCAGATAACTTCTTTCAAATTTTCTACTGCCACTTAGGGGAAGTTCATCTAAACTCATCCTCTGTCTTCTAAATTGTTTCCTGCTAATTCAGCTCGTAGGAGGCAGCAGTGATAGCTCAAGTGGTTGTATTTTCATGACCTATGTGCAAGACATGGATTGAATTCCTGGCTTCTGGCATTAGCCCTGCCTGGCTACTGTAGGCATTCAGAGAATGAATCAGCAGGTAGAAGTTTTCTGTTTCTTCACCTCAAAAAAATTTTAAAAAAAAAAAGATTTATTTATTTTTTATTGGAAAATCAGATTTATAGAAGTAGAAAATACAGAGAGAAAGATCTTCCACCCGCTGGTTTACTCCCCAAGTGGCCACAGTGGCCAGAACTGAGCCAATCCAAAGTCAGGAACCAGAAGCTTCTTCTGGGTCTTCCACACAGATGCAGGGTTCCAAGGCTTTTGGCTATCCTCTACTGGTTTCCTAGGCCACAAGCAGGGAAACAGAAGGGAAGTGGGGCAGCTGGGACACAAACTGCTGCTCATAAGGGATCCTGGTGCATGCAGGATGAGGATTTCAGTCACCACTGCCTCAAAAACTTTAAAGACATTTAAAAAATCTATATTGTAGAAAAACATTCACTATGGTGCTGGTATTCCAAATGAAGGCTGGTTTGAGTCCCACCTGCTCCACTTTCAGTCTAGTGTCCTGTCCATGTGCTTGGGAATGTAGCAGAGAATGGTGCTGGGTCCCTGCACTCATACAGGAGCTCTGGATGGACTTCCAGGCTCCCTGCTGTGACTTCCTTGCTGCTGTGGCCATCTGGGGAGTGAATGAGCAGATGGCAGATCTGGATGCTACCTTCATTCTAGGAAGGCAAACCTGCACATGAAGACCCTAATAATATACTCTACCTGCTGGGGTATCCTTCAACCCCTTAGCTACGTCTGACAACCAAGAGTAAAGCAAAAGAGGGCACTGTGACTCCTAGTGTGGCTCAGACCACAGCCCCACTTTCATAACAGCACCCATCACAGCACTCAAACGTGACATGGCAGCTTCCCAAATGCGAGGGTGTGAGCAGGCTGTGAGGTGCAGTGGCAAGGGGGCCTCACCTGGATGGTCACATTCGTGCATCCTGGCACAGGTCTGGGTACACTCAGGGGGTCTAGTGCCACAGGGAACTGGTGGATAGATCACTGACGCACCACAGTGGCAGGTCAATTCATCAAAACCTGGAGGAATAGCAGGTGAAATAAAATAACCCCTAGTGAGTTTGGGATGTGCACACACATGTTCACACATACATATTATTCACTGGCAGTTTTAGAAGGAAATCTGGGAGCTGAGTTCCTTTTCTGTTTTCTTTTTTACATAAAAGGGTTTTTATTTTATTAAGGTTGAGCTGATTACAAAGGCATGGACAATACATAATGTTGCATTTACCACTCTGAGCCTGACGGCTTTCCAATACTTTTTCACAACACGTTTCTGATTTGACTGAAGTTTTATTAATGACTGTGATTTTAGCACTGTAATATGACATCTGTCAACATTGTAAAGATCTGCATAATTCACTGAACATTTAATTTCCAAATGATCAATGTATACTATTAGATATGAGTAAAAAGATACAGTCAAAGCACAAGACAGAGCAGTGAAATTTATGTCACAGAGAACAAAAGCAAAAATACTGATTCCAGTATTTCCTGAAACAAGATTCAGTTCTGGTGCAATATCACAGAAGAATATCCACAGTTATTTCAAAGAAATCTTTAAAATACACTTTCCTTTTCAAATGAGCTGTGAGGCTGAACTTTTCAATTATATCACACAATAGATGAAAAACAGAAGACTAAATTTAAATACATAAATTCTCATATATGAAAATTCAGTTACCTTCTATTAAACTAGGCATCCACTATTATTATTTTCATGGCAAGTATTATTTACAAAAAGTGATTATTATCTTTAAATGAATAAAACAATTATGTTTTTGAATTCTCAGCTCCAAACGATAATACAGTAGACTTAGGTATAAATAACTCATATAAAAAGAGCTTTTGGGGGGGTCCTCATTTTTTTTCTAAAATTGTAAATAAGTCCTAAAATCAAGTTGGCAAGCTGCTACTAAAAATGCAAAGAACGCTGAGGACAGAACCGCGGTAGGTAGCAGAAGAGAAATTCATGAGTGAACCAGTCCGCATTTCAAGATCACTGCTCACATCTCATTTCATACATCCAGGGACTATAACAGCACCAGAAAGAGCTTCTTTGTGCTAACATGTCCAGAATACTAAGGCTTAGTTCAATAAATCATATGAATCAAAGTAAAACTATTTCTGAATTTCTAGGAAACTCTTATAGTAAAGACACCGACTGGCTTGCCAGCACGTCTGGCAGTTCCCACGATGACAAGGTTCTTCACACCTATGAAGGCCACAACGGAGTTTTCTCCCACAAATCAAGGGACACTTGTGCTCCTTATCCTGGGAAGAGAGAGTTACATTTGTTCACAGACTTGTCTCCATTTCATGTGTTGCTTAAACAGCAGTAAGTTTAACAGGTTTGACATGCATGGATCAAATGATGTTTGAAAACAGCATCAGAATATCCAGGGACAGGGAGTATGCACGATACAGGTGAAAACAAGGCTAGATGAGAGCTGGTGGTCACTTCAAGAGCAGGCTGTGTGCAGGTGCAATATACAGCTCTGCTTTGATCTGGTTGAAGTGCTCCATGCCAAGAGGTACTCAAAGCTCACAAATCTTGGTATTTAACACAATTCCATCACTCTACCTTGTAAATATACACATTTTAATGTAACAACTATGTGTCTTACACACATATGTAAATGTGTAAGTGTACTACTGTGCTGTTGATATTGTTTAAAAATGTATGAACACACATGTACACACATATACTTTTATATATATGTTCTCTTGTTTTATACATGACAAGAAAATACCTCTAATAAGTTCCACAGATGTAAATATTACAAATAAATGAAACTTGTTGTTTTACCAAATACCAAACTCATTTTGCGTCCTGGCCTGGCCTGAAGAGTACTAACCAAATCTGAAGGATAACCTGGCTGGTCTCTACACTCTCATTACCTAGTCTGAGGGCCTGAGGGTTCCTGGATGCCCCAGCTGACTGCTCAACCTGGCCAAGGCCTAAGAAGGCCTGAGAGAGTACAGGGACTGTGCAAGCTCTCTGACTAGCATGTAGGTCTTTGCACAGTGATTTTTAAACCTGGGCTGTATTCCAGATGGCCGAGGCTTCTACAGCCCAGCCATGAGGATTGGAGTCTGAAGACACCTAACGGTAAGTCCACTTACCACACAGCATATCTCATTACACTTATGCCGTCCACACAACCGCTTCTTGTTACATCGCTTGTCACACATAAATGTAGCATCTGTCATGGACAATTAAAAAGAAAAACAGGCAAAGGGATATGAATAGTGAACCAACAATCATCTGATTATAGACTGAAAAAAATAAAAAGGTAATAATATAAATAATTAATGGTGAAAAATATATATTAATACACAATTTTCATTCATCAAATGATCAAAAATAGAAAATAGCAAAACTGATTTAATATATGGAAAGGATAAAGTAATGAAGAAAAATGGAAACTCATACAAAGCAAATATAAACAGAGCAGTAAGTATATTAAAGAAGTCAGTAGTGGTAGGTGTTGTGGAGCAAAATAGGCCACCTCTTGTATCACATGTTGAAGTGCCTGGGGTTGAGTCCTGCCTCTGTTTCTGATGCAGCTTCTCAAAAGGCAGAATGTGATGGCCCAAGTACGTGGGGCTCCTGTCTCTCAGGTGAGACAACCAGACAGAGTTCTGAGCTCCCGCCATCAACCTGGCCCGGCCCCAGCTGTTGTTGAGAATTTGGGGGAGTGAACTGGCCAGTGGAAGAGAAAATACTAATTAAAGACAAATCGTTTAGCATCAATCTAAATTCAGAGAGAAAAAAATCTCCTAGCATGTTTACACATCCACACCCAACAAATTATCGATGGTGATTTCATCAGAAGAGTTGAAAGAAGACCTAGGCATAAAAAATGAGGTGAAGGTATATTTTCATTTTATAATATACATACACGTGTTTGAGTACACAAAAATTATATTAATTCTGTAATTTTCACAAATTATGTATTTTTATAGCATTAAAACTTTTTTTTTAACTTATATATTTGGAAGGTGGAATTAGAGAAAAATCTTCCATTCAGTAGTTTACTCCCCCAACAGCCACAATGACTGGAGCTGTGCCTGGCCAAAGTCAGGAGCTAGGAACTTTTGCCAAGTCTCCCACATGGATCTAGGGGCCAAAAGTTGGGCCAGCCATTGCTGCTTTCACCAGATGCATTACCAGAGAGCTGGATCAGAAACGGAGCAGGCAAGACGTGAACCTGCACCTACATGTTATGCCAGTGCTGCAGGTGGCAACTTAATTTGCCACATCACAATGCCGACTTCCAAACTGCATATTTTTAAAAACTAAAATTCTGAATGTTATGATCTGGAAGTGTTTTTCCCCAAGGTTTCATGTGCTGGAAATGTTGTCATCATTGTAGTGATGTGAGATGTGGTAGAGGGGCCAGTGTGGTGACATAATATATTAAACTGCTGCCAGGGATGCCAGTACCAGTGACGTTTGAGTCCCAGTAGCTCCATTTCTGATCCAGCTCCCTGCTAATGTGCCTGGGAAAGCAGCAGAAGATGTCCCAAGAATTTGGGTCCCTGCAACCATGTGAGAGACCTGGAAGAAGTTCCTGGCTCCTGGCTTCAGCTGGCAGAGCTGTGTTCATTGTGGTCATTTGGGGAGTGAACCGCTGCACCACAATACTGGCTCCAAATCAGTTAGAAATCAGATGCCCACGTGCTCCTCGTTACAGAACAGAATGATGACGTGCCTAATCCATCCTGGTCCTTTCATCCCCCTTGATAGTAATGGGTTTTGGTAGGAATATGTTTGCATAAAATGTATTGAGGACCTTTCAGAACCACTCTTCCTGCTCTTAAAAAGGAACAGAGATAAACACCCTCTGTGTGGAGCTGCAGTAGCTCATTTACATCCAGGAGGGGAAAACAGAAAAGCTGAACCAGAGTTCCAGAATCAACAACTATTCTGCTTCTAGATTTCCTGTTCTGTGAAACAACAAACCCCTTACTGTTTCTTCCTCAGGTTTTCTGTTATCTATGTCCAGAAGCTTCCTAATTAACTCAGCTTTTTTCTTGACTAAAAAAAGAGCTTTTTTCACGTCTTTATCTTCTATTACTTTCTCAAAGGGATTTGGGGCAGCTTACACGATAGCATCAGAACAAAGTGGGAACTCAGGACCAAAGACTAAGGAAGAGACAACATTGCAGGCCTCAAGACTAAGAAGGCTGCTGGGGGCGGGGGTGTCCGGCAGTCCCACTGAGACATAAAGGGTCAGCGTGCACAAAAACTGCCTCACTCGCTGTTTAACTTTGCTCCCTTCACTGTTAATATCCTATTATAACATTTTACACATATGAAATAATCAGGGCTGGTGTTGTGGTCAATGAGTCTTCAACATGCTATATAGATACCGTTTGAGTCTTGGCTGCTTTACTTCTGATACAGCTACCTCTCATGTACCTGAGAAAGCACCAGAGGATGGTCCAAGCACTTGGGCCCCTATCTCCCGCATAAGAGTTTCAGGCTCCTGGCTTCAGCCCGGAATATGCCCAGCTTTTGCAGCCATTTGGGTAGTGAAGCAGCAGTCAGAAAGAGCTCTTGTCTGTTCTCTTTGTAACTCTGCTATTCAAATAAATAAGTATCTCTCTTTTTTTTTTAAAGATTTATTTTTATTATTTTTTCATTGGAAAGGCGGATATACAGAGAGGAGAGACAGAGAGGAAGATCTTCCATCCGATGATTCACTCCCCAAGTGAGCGCAACGGGCCGATACTATGCCGATCCGAAGCCAGGAGCCTCTTCCGGGTCTCCCACACGGGTGCAGGGTCCCAAAGCTTTGGGCCGTCCTCGACTGCCTTCCCAGGCCACAGGCAGGGAGCTGGAAGGGAAGCGGGGCTGCCGGGATTAGAACCCGCGCCCACATGGGATCCCGGGCGTGCAAGGCGAGGACCTTTAACCACTTGCGCCACCGCGCCGGGCCCAATAAGTATCTCTTAAAATGCACAAATCTCAGGTATACCTTGCTAAATTTTGATAAATGAGTAACTTCAAAAAGTCTAAGGAAAAATGCAGTTAAAAATAGGAATGAAATCTAAGCATAATTTTTTCTATAAGTGTTTTCCACATTGCAATATTTAAAACTATTTTTATTTTCCTAATTTGAAAGGCAGAGACAGAGATCTTTTACACACTCTTTCAATCCCCAAATGTCTGCACTAGTTAGGGCTAGGTCAGGCTCAAGCCAGGAACCAGTCAGTAGTCTGGAATCCAATCTATGTATTCCATGTGGCACAGTGAGTTAAGCTACCACTTCTGTCTCCAACATTCCATGTGGTCCTCATCTGCTGACTTCCAGGGTACCCAAGAACAGGAAGCTGGAAGGAGAGGTGAGCTGTGCTGAGACTGGATGGTGGCAGTCCCAAGCAGCATTCCAACTCCGGGTATCAGATGTCTGTCCCTAAACTCTAAATTTTTGATTATTATTATTTTTAAAGATCTATTTTTATTTGGAAAGGCAGATTTTATAGAATAGGAAAGACAGATCTTTTATCCACTGGTTCACTTCCCAGATGGCTGCAATGGCTAGAGATGATCTGATCTGAAAATGGGAGCTGGGAGCTTCTTCTGGGTCTCGCACATGGGTGCAGGTTTCCAAGGCCTGAAGCCATCCTCCATTGCCTTCCCTAAGCCATAAACAGGGAGCCAGAGTCGAAGTGGAACATCCAGGACATGAACAGGTACCCATATGGGATGCTGGCACTTGCAGGCAGAGGATTAGCCAGTGGAGCCCTCACATCAAAAAAAATTTTTTTAAAAGATTTATTTATTTGAAAGGCAGAGGCATGCAAGGGGAGAAGTTATGGGAATGTGGAGACAAGTCTTCCATATACTGGTCTATTCCCCAAATAGTGACCAGAGTACAGCAGGCAGAAGCAGGGGCTAAGGGGCTACTTCCTGGTGTCCCAGGTGGATACAGGAATCCCAGCTCCTGGGCCATTCTCCTCTGTTTTCCCAGGTGCACTTTCAGAGAAAAGGAATGGAAATGGAGCATCTGGGACTCAAACCAGCATCCATATGGATGCTGGCACTACAGGTAGCAGCTGATGTTGCTGTGTCACAGTATCAGCCCTTGTAAGCTCATGCTTGTAATTCCATTTCCCACAAACCTTTTGAAATACCCTCACATAAAACTCAACCTATCTCAAGATACCCCAGAAAAACAGCCTTATGACCTCCCCCATTCATACCTTCACTTTTGAGACTGGTACATGGAAGCTCCTATGGAAGAAGAAAAAGAAAAACAGTAACTATATTAGAAACATCTGAAACATCACCACCACAGTATCATGCTAAAAAAAAAAATAGACCTTAAAAAAATATGCTCACTGCCATGGAATCCCTTATTAGAGGGAGCAAGGGCAAAGATTAATGAGAAGCAAGAAAGAACACAGAGGAAGAGATTGGTGGGGAAAAAAAACCTAAAAGTAACCCTTGCTGGCTTACCTGGCCAGTTTTGCTTGTGATTTTTACAAAGAACTCTAGGTACTGTTAAATTTATGATTAATAGATCTCATAGCTTTTAATTTAATATTTGTGGATTAACATTCAATATACCTCCACTATTCCATATATATTTTGTAATTTCTGACAGGAAAAAAAAACCTATGTAGCACACAATTTCTGTCACAAATTATACTACTCTCACATCTTTTCTCCTTTTATTATGAAGTTTATCTATTAAGTTAGCTTCCAATCCAGACTCATGTACAAGTTGGCTGCTGCCAAGACCTTGGGCTGTTTTTAACCAACAGCACCAACTGTTCAGAATTCAGGTCCAACACTGGGTTTTGGGTTACTCAAAGATTTCTACAGGAAGACTTCCTGCCACCTCTTATTAAATAGAAAGGGCAAACTAAAACAATAAGAGACCCCCTTTAAAACACAAAATCAAATCAATACTACCCAGAGCAGAAGGCAGAAATGAATGAAAACAGTTCGACAGTGATGAGTTAATGAAATACCCAAGGGATTCTGGCCTCGGCACTTGGCTGCTCCCCTGGAGCAATCCCAGGGAACGTCGCTGCCTGCTTGTAGCCTTAGATCACTGGGTAGTTAACTATAATTTCTGAGCAAGCTGGTCACACTGAATAGTCTCAGGGCGGTGGCTTTGACCAGTAGATTTGTGGAGAGATTGGAGACTGATATCAGCCACATGGGCAGTCAAACCTGTCTCCTCAATGGAGCCCCAGTGAAAACTCTGACTACCCATGCTTTTCCAGAGTTTCCCAGGTGGCAATACACCATCCCACACTACTGACACGCAGAAAGTAAAGCTGTCCTGATTTCACAGGGAGAAGACAAATGAAAATCCAAATATGGTATTTCCTTGGAGTCTGCCCTACATTGGTTCAATTTAATTCTGCATCTTTTCTTCACAATAAAACCATAACCATGAGTATAACAGCTTTCAATAAGTTTAGTGCATCTTTCTACCAAATTATTAAGCTTCGAGGGTGGTCTTGGGGATTACAGAACTTACAGTTGGTATTAAAAGTGGGTGATCATGGATTGTTCTAATTTAGCAGTTACCCGACTACTGCATTGGGTGTCCAAAGTGTCGGCTGGGTTCCTTCTAACTTCTCAGCTAACTCCAACACAGCCACTATTCCTCTTTTCTTGGCACTGAACGTTATCATACTTGTATTTGGTGGAGCTGTTTGCACACTTGTCCTGGTCCCACTACTGGTTTCTGAGCCTTGCGTGCTGCAGCCTCTCAACACATATATCCTGCAACTTGCCCATCAGATGAGCCAGTAACTATTGGCTGCATTTAGTGAGCCATACATAATATGACAAATCTAACTGGGTTTATTCCGAGTCCTAACCTTCCATAACAGCCACTTTAAAGATTTATTTTTATTATTTTTTTATTGGAAAGGCGGATATACAGAGAGGAGAGACAGAGAGGAAGATCTTCCGTCCGATGATTCACTCCCCAAGTGAGCCGCAACGGGCCGATACTATGCCGATCCGAAGCCAGGAGCCTCTTCCGGGTCTCCCACGCGGGTGCAGGGTCCCAAAGCTTTGGGCCGTCCTCGACTGCTTTCCCAGGCCACAGGCAGGGAGCTGGAAGGGAAGCGGGGCTGCCGGGATTAGAACCGGCGCCCATATGGGATCCCGGGCGTGCAAGGTGAGGACTTAACCACTTGCGCCACCGCGCCGGGCCCATAACAGCCACTTTAAAGACAATGAGAGCAACAACTCTGGCACTGTACAGCATTTACCTTTGTTTTGAATGAGCATCTGCAGGAAATAACTGATGTGCGAGAGCATGGTCCACAGTCTCCTTCATGGCAGAACTTTTCACAAGTATGTATGAAATCTTTAATAAAATAAAAATGAAAGGTTAAGAATGAAATATGCTACTCATTTCCAAATTCACAACTCTGTGACTGTCTCATGATGGGTGGCCTACACTCATTCTGCTAAATTAAATTTAGGGCTCTCTGCTGCTGCACCTGGAAAATCTGTGGAGAAGGCACAAATGTTTGGGCTCTTGCACCCATGCACTAGACTTAGAGAAAGCTACTGGCTTTGGTCTGGGCCAGCCCTTACTGTTGTTCCATTTAGGGAGTGGACCAAGGGATTAAAGATCTATGTTTCTCCCTCTAACTCTTTCAAATAAGATGGTTCTTAAAAAAAAAAAAAAGCAGGGAAGAAACAAAGAAATTAGTGTGGGGCCAGCACTGTGGTGCAGTAGGTTAGTCTGTTGATGCGGGAATTTTACATGAACTTAAAGTTGAGTCCTGGCTGCTCCACTTCTGATCCAGGGTTCTGTTAATTCACTGGGGAAAGCAGCTGAAGATGGCTGCTTGGGTCCTTACCATCCACAGGAGAGACCCTGATGGAGTTTGACACTGCTGGTGCCAGCCTAGCTGAGCCCTGGTTGCTGCAGCCATCTGGGTATGAACCAGTGGATGTCTTCAAATAACTCATCATGCATTTTCCATGAAACTTGAAGACTTCCTGAACAGCTCTAGTCTACTTCTCATCTTTTGTGCTTACATTAGTATTGTTAAAATGGATATACGTTATATATCAAATATTACACTCATGATTTTTTATACTGGCATATTTAACAAAGAAACTGAGAAAAGCCGCCAATCATATATCCAGAATTTATTACATTTATGTTTATATTTATCATTTCAGTTTTCAGTTATCATTTCATTTGCATTTGTGGGTTTAAATTTTCCTCTGGAATCACTTCCCATTTCCAGTACAACTTTGATCTCTTCTGCCTTCTTTGTGCTATTATCATGAAATACACTTCAAAATATTGTAAGCCTTATAAACACAATTTTATCAATATTATTTTATGCAATTGCTTTTAAAATCAGAAGATAGACAAAAACATGTAGTTTTCAGTACTCTTTTACCATATGGATTTGCATTTCCAGTTGGGTTTACTTACATTTATTTTTTAAATTCATAGTTGATATTTCATACTACTTCGTCACTGCTGCCAAATGCTTATATTCACATTTTTAAGGTCAACTTTATGAGTACTAGTTACCTGAGGAACCACAAGGCAGAGGTTTGCCACACACTTTTCCACACGAGGGGACAGGATCCATGCAGGATTTCCGACTACTGCTTCCAAGTTCCAGCAACTGGCTAAGAGGAGTTTGACCACAAGGGCAATAGCGCACTAAATGGGGCAGCCGTGCACATGGCTGGCAGGGCTGAGGGTGGCACACTTGAGAACATGTATGGTTCCCACATTTCAAGTCCCTGTTAAGAAAAAGAGACTATTACATAATTGCTGCATGATATGAAACGTCAAGTGGAAAAAAGGAAAAAAGATAAACCTTACTTGCCACATATCTTCAAACAGCCAAAGTCCCCAAATCCATCAGACTTTCCTATGTCAGTTCCACATAGCACATCTCTGGTGGTGCTGCCACAGTAGCATACTAGAAGGCACATGTGAAAGACAAAACATTGGCAACCTTTAGATAGTCTTAAAATATTCCAAATAATGTATAAAACAAATAGAAAATTCGTTCAGTCAGGCGCTGATCAGACCTGACTGAAGGTTTCAATATGGTTTATACAACAGCAAAATCCACCTAGGAATTGAATTACAAGAAATTATTTTTTTTAGTGACTTAAGCCAAAACAAAAATACTTAAAAAAGATTTATTCATTAATTTGAAACACAAGGTTACAGGCCTGGCGCCATGGCTCAATTGCTAATTGTCTATCTCCAAGTGCCTGGATTCCTTATGGGCTCTAGTTCGTGTAGCAGATGCTTCACTTCCCATTTGCTCCCTGCTTGTGGCCTGGGAAACCAGCAGAGGATGGCCCAAAGTCTTGGGATCCTGCACCTGCCTGGAAGACCTGAAAGACCGGAAAATCCGGCACGATAGCGTAACGGTTAAAGTCTTTGCCCTGAACGCACCGGGATCCCATATGGGCACCAGTTCTAATCTTGGTAGCCATGCTTCCCATTCAACTTCCTGACTGTGGCCTGGGAAAGCAGTCGAGGATGGCCCAAAGCCTTGGGACCCTGCACCCATGTGGGAGATCTGGAGGAAGCTCCTGGCTCCTGGCTTCGGATTGGCTAAGCTCCAGGCGTTGCGGTCGCTTGGGGATTGAACCACTGGATGGGAGATCTTCCTCTCTTTCTCTCCTTCTCTCTGTACATCTGCCTTTCCAGTAAAAATAAATAAATCTTAAAAAAAAATTTTCTTGAGTGGAACCAAAAGCTCCCATTGAACAGGGAGAAAGGAAAGAGCCAAATCACAAAGACGTAATTAAGACTCCCTGTAATTCATGTGAGAAGCAGAGTAAAGGGAGTGTACTCCCACTGCTGCGTTACTCCCCCAAGGTCACACCCAGGCCAGCGCCAAGAGCCGGGAAACCAACGACTTGAGCCATCACTGCTGCCTCCCCAGGACTGCACTAGTAGGAAACTCTGCTATGTTTAGGCACAAGCAAAATAAATAAATAAATAAATAAATAAATAAATAAATAAATAAATAAATAAATAAATAAAGGAAGACGAGCTAATGATAGAAGTTTGGTGCAGTCATAAATGACTGAAGGAAGTAGTCAAGGATCCAGAGACAATTTGGAGGAAGGACTTTGTCACCAGCCTGCATCTATTCAAATAAATGAATAAGGACCCAGAAGGAATGTGTATGAAATCTCTACACAAACCTGAGAAGGATCCTAGAAGACAACTTGAGAAAATAAACCACATATGTAGCCAAAACTGTTTGCTAGTGACAAGGTGACAAGAAAGAAGGAAAACAAGTGTAGGGCTATAGAAGGATCACAGCTTAAAATGAGAATTATAAAGAAAATGTTAGATTAGTTTATGTAAAATCCTTATGATAAAATGACCTCAACCATCCCTGAGGAAAAACTATTCCAGAAACTAAAAGCAGGTAGCAATGTCTCGTCAGAACAGATTAAACTGCTGCAGGCAGTACTGGTACCTTCACTTCTGATCTTCACCCTGTGAATGCACCAGGAAAGCAGTGGAAGATGGCACCATGTTCTGGGCCCTTGCCACCCATGTAGGAGACCTGGAAGATGCCACTGGCTTTGGCCTGGCCCAGCCCTAGACACTGTGGCAATTTGGGGAGTGAATCAGTTAATGGAAGAACTGTTTCTCCCTCTAATTCTGTTTTTCAAACAAAATAAATCTAAAAAAAAAAAAAAAGTATGTGTGTGGGGGAGGGTTGCACTGTGGCAGAGTACGTTAAGCCTCTGTCTGTAGGGCTGGCATTCAATGCTGGTTCATGTCCTGTCTACTCCACTTTCAGTCCAGCTCTCTAATGGCCTGAGAAAGCAGCAGAGGATGGTTCAAATTCTAGGGCCTTGGCACCCTCCTGGGAGTCCCAGAAGAAGCTTCTGCCTCCTTAGTAGTCAACTCTGTCTGCTGTGGCCATTTGGGGAGTGAATCAGCAGAGGGAAGATCTCACTCTTTCCTTTTCCCTCTATGATTCTGCCTTTCAAATTAAATAAATAGAATACATTTTAAGGACAAAAAAAAGGGGGGGGGTATGGCACAGTAGCCTAGTGGCTAAAGCCCTCGCCTTGCACGTGTAGAGATCCCATACAGGTACAGGTTCTAATTCTGGAGGTCCTACTTCTTATCTACCTCCCTATTTGTGGCCTGGGAAAGTAGTAGAGTACAGCCCAAAGCCCTGGGATGCTGCAGCAATGTGGGAGACGGGAAAAAACTGCTGGCTCCTGATCAGCTCAGCTCTAGCCATTGCAGCTACATGGGGAGTAAATCAGCTGATGGAAGATCTTCATCTCTGTCTCTCCTCCTCTCTGTATATCTGAGTTTCCAATAAAAATAAAGACATTTTAAAAAAAGGTGGGGATTAGTATGGTGGCTCAACAGGCTAATCCTACAACATGCAGCATTGGCATCCACATACGTGCAGGTTCTAGTCCCGGCTGCTTCACTTCCTATCCAGCTCCTTGCTATGGCTTTGGAAAGCAGCAGAGGATGCCCAAAGCCTTGTAACCCTGCATGAATGTGGGAGACATAGAAGCAGCTCAAAGTTCCTGATTTTGAACTGGCCAACTCTGGCTGCCATCTGGGGAGTGAACTGGTTGGTGGATGAAATTTCACTCTCTTTCCTTTTCTAATTCTGCCTTTTTAAACAAACAAATAAAATACAGTGTGAAAAAATCTATACTTAGAAAACAAAAGGAAAGAAAAAAAAATATATAGTAACTTATCCATTGCTCTTCTTGCCAGTGGACAATTAGGATGTTGACAGTTTGGGACTCATAGAAACACATATTTCTTTGTAAGCCTTTGTGTAATATAGGTATGAAAATATCTAAGATTGGAATGGTTGGGTCATACAATACACATAGGTTTAATTTTATAAAAAACTGGAAAAGGACTGTCTGAAACGGTGATCGGCTGTTACACACCTGCCAGCAACGCATGAGTTCCAGCCATCTTTCCTTCTAGGGCCAACGTGTGGTCATGAGCCTTTGTTTTAACTGTCCTTACAGTGTGAAAAGGTATCTTAGTGTGGTTTTCCATGGATTATCAGCTCTTTTTAGCAGTTTTGTGACATAATTTAGATTGCCCACCACTTACCCTGGTTCAATATGATCCGACAAGGCTGGCACGGACCCCCATGGCACAGCTCAGCACAGCGGTGCTGCCCACAGTTCAAAATGTTCTCACAGGGGTTAGAGCAGTGAACCGAGACTGCCTGGCCACAGCGAACTGTGTGCCTGTGAAGACAGCAGAAGTGAAGACAGCATCAGCCAAAGACTTCCTGTTGAATGCCTAAACCTTTCTCTCAACACTTTCTAAAGTTTTCCTTCTCCCTGTTTTCCTCTCGTAATTCTTATTTCCTCCATTTCTCTCCTCTACTCTTTCTTCTTTCTCCTCTTCTGCTCTCTTGAATCCTACACTGCCTTTCCCTCTGCCCTGCTTCCCGATCTGTGAGGAACTCTGGGCTGTTCCAATTGATTTCATGTGTTCTGCGATGCAACATGAGACGGGTAAGGAGCCCTGGGATGAAGATCCTGGTTCCAGTGTTCCCATAGTACCTTACAGAGTAGGAAGGAAAAGCAGCAATAGCATATGCAAATCTGACTAGACACACACAGCAAGCACCATCGATCTCATTTCCCTGGGGCCCAGCTCTTTGGCATTTATTCAGAATATCCTCAGTGTGGCTGATTCATGATAGAGAAAATCATTTTGGTTTTGTTCTAATAGATATCCTAATTTTGCCAACTTATCTGTTCAAGAAGTCTACTAGGCTGGTGCTTTCAGACAACTGTCTTTAGGTCTTCTTAGAGTCATGTTTTGACTTTTGAGTCTACTCTCCTACAAAAGGTTTTGTTTTATTTTTTAAATATATATTTATTTAAAATGTTCTTTTCTTAGTTGAGAAGGATGTATGCCCGTGTGGGCCGTTAATCAGGGTGGAGAGAGTCCTGGTATGGAAGAAGATCAGGACAAACGTTTTCAAACTTCTCCTTTTGTCCTACATCTGCAGCGGTGGGTGAGGATGGGAGGGGGCTCTCCCTGCTGCCAAATGACTTCAGCACCTGGGCAAGAGTTTCATTCTGTCCCTTACTCCCATCTCAGCTCCATTTCTTTTTTAAATTTTTTAAAAAGATTTATTTATTTTATTGGAAAGGCAGATGTACAGAGAGGAAGAGAGACAGAGAGGAAGATCTTCCATCCGATGATTCACTCCCCAGGTGGCCGCAGCAGCAGGTGCTGCGCCGATCTGAAGCCAGGAGCCAGAAACTTCTTTCCAGGTCTCCCACATGGGTGCAGGTTCCCAAGGCTTTGGGCCGTCCTCGACTGTTTTTCCCAGGCCACAAATATGGAGCTGGATGGGAAGTGGAGCTGCCGGGATTAGAACCAGCGCCCATATGAGATCCCGGTGTGTACAAGGCAAGGACCTTAAGCTTTACGCTATTGCACTGGGCCCCTCAGCTCCATATTTTAGGAAGGTGCTCTCACTTAAGTAGATGATTAGTCTATAGTACTCAGCATGATATCTCACACTGCCGGTAAGGTTACTTTCATGCCTAACATCATGGCTAACACCATCTCCCTGACATTATTATTCCTATTTTATGGTAAGATAAATGAGACCTGGTGAGACTGATGACCTTGCAAGTGAAAGAGCCCAGACCTGACCTTACTGACCCACAACTCTGCACATGACTGAAACTTACTACAGTTTAGTAGAAATGAAACAAATGGCAAATCACTGACAATCTGCATGATCCCACCTTGTTCCCGTGGTCTGTTACCAGGCCTCCAAGGAGCTTTGTGACTCTCACTGATCCTTGCTCTGATGACATGGACTTGTACTTTGGAAAGATGGTGGACCATGGGGCTCACTTCTGCTTTCACTCAGTGATGCTCACTACTAGGCCAGATATTGTGCTAGGCATGGGACAACAGGCCTTGCCTCTTGGGCCTTAACAGGTCTGCATTCAATGCCTGACTCTGTCACTTACTAAAGAGGTTAAAATATCTCAGTCCACCTTGGTATCTCACCTGAAAATGGCTATTGTCACAACTCACTGTTCATACAACTTTTTAACCACTCATAAGACTAAGCCATAACCAAGGATAGTACAGGAAATTACCATTTATAGAAAATATGATTTATACCTACCATATGCACATATTTATAGCTATCTACTAACCTTCTGCTTTAGAAATTCACAAGTAGGGCCCAGCGGCATGGCCTAGCAGCCAAAGTCCTCGCCTTGAGCGCCTGGGATCCCATATGGACACCGGTTTTAATCCCGGCAGCTTCACTTCCCATCCAGCTCCCTGCTTGTGGCCTGGGAAAGCAGTCGAGGATGGCCCAAAGACTTTGGACCCTGCACCCACATGGGAGACCTAGAAGAGGTTCCTGGTTCCCGGCTTCAGATCGGCGCAGCACCGGCCGTTGCGCTCACTTGGGGAGTGAATTATCAGACAGAAGATCTTCCTCTCTGTCTCTCCTCTCTGTATATCTGACTTTGTAATTAAAAAGTAAATAAATCTTAAAAAAAAAAAAGGAAAGAAAGAAAAAAAAAAGAGTTCACAAGTAAATCTCAGAAATTGAGATTTTCTTTAGAGTGTAATTTTGACTTTACCTGGTCCGTCCACATTCGCAGGCTTTCGTTGTAAAGGCAGGACAGGGTGGACAGGGTCCAGGATGGCAGAGACTGAAAAACAGAAACATCAAGGAATAAGCCATACCAGGCATTCAACCCCAAACAAAGCTACTGGAGCCGTGGTTTACCACAGATATAACGATAAATACGCCCACTATGAAATGTCTCAGTGTTTCTATACAGCTCATTACTTACACAAAAATATCAACTATATTTTTATGGAAAAGAATCTGTTTTATTTGGATCTGACAGTCGACTATGATATTCGTGTGAGGAGAAAGAGTTTGTCAGGCCTGGCACAGTAACCTAGAGGCTAAAGTCCTTGCTTTGCACATACTTGGGATCCCATATGAGCCTCGGTTCTAATCCTGGCAGCCCCACTTCCCATCTAGCTCCCTATTTGTGGCCTGGGAAAGCAGTCGAGGACAGTCCAAAGCCTTGGGACCCTGCACCCATGTGGGAGACCCGGAAGAAGTTCCTGGATCCTGGCTTCGGATCGATGCAGCATTGGCTGTTGCGCTCACTTGGGGAGTGAATCATCGGATGGAAGATCTTCCTCTCTGTCTCTCCTCCTCTCTGTAATTCTGCCTTTCCAATAAAAATAAATCTTTAAAAAAAAGAAATGTTTGTCACCCTGGTTAATGACCGTACAGCCAAGTATGGATCCCAATTTTATTAGGATCATGAGGAGGTGATATTTTCTCAACAGCTTGTGAATAACCAGGCAATGGACTAATTTTCAAAACAGTGAAAAGAAGGCTGATACGAGGGAAGGCATGGTCAATATAACAGAGAGCAAAAGAACTGGAAATGAAATCACACAAAAAACAGGTTAGTAATATGTTACAGGTCACAATTAGAGCTTTGAAAAGAATGTTTATGAATTATTTCTCTGTCACTCTGCCTCCCATATATAAATAAATTTTTTTAAATGCCTGAGAGGCAGCTGTTGCCACATCCAATTCATTTTGAGAATTTTAACAATTAGGCAATAAATATTTTGGTTTTAAAAACCGGAACAAAAATGTCTTGATAAAGAAGGGAATAGTTTAAGTGAATGAGTCTAAGGGAAGGACCTGTGCTAATGGTCAGAGGGAAGGAGGTGGCTGAGTGCCCAGCAGATAAAGAGCCTGCTGTTTAGTCACACTGGAAAGACAGTCCTGGCTGTTCTACCTGTGATCCAATTCCCTACTAAGGTGCCCGGCAGACAGCAGATACTGATCCAAGTACTTCAGAGATGTGGATACCAGATAGAGCTCTTGGCTTCTGACTTAAGCCTGGCCTACCTCTGTGGCTGCAGAAGCTTTCCGAAGAGTGAACCAACAGACTGAAGATCTCCTGTCACCCTGCCTTTCATATCAATATACATTCATGCAAATTCATTTATATAAATGTATAAATAAACCTTAAAAAATTCACCTATACAATCATCTCCTGGCAGAGACTGTACTGTACCCTTGGGGGCTTAGCCAACCCTGAAGGCTAAAGTATCTTGATACACTTCCTCTCAGAAGCCATCAATGTAATATAGTAAGGAAAAAACACTGGCTTTTGAAATTTCAGCTCTATCATCGTTTCGCGATGTGACACTGGGCAAGATACTTGGCCTTTCAGAGCCTCATCTGTAAAATGGGAATAAATACCTACACAAGTTAATGTATGTACAGTGCGCAACACCCTCCTCATCCCTTCCTGTTGGATGCTAACCAGAAAAGTTGTTTAGTGCCATCAGCAAAGCCTGTCTACCAGGAATTCCCCAGGTATTCCAACTTACAGGTTACAGGAATGTGGGCAGTCCTGGCCAGGCTGTTTCCTTCTACAAACTTCACCACAACTATGTGGAATCTCATTTCTGCTCCACTCCGGATTCTTTACTTTACCTAAAACACCAGATTAGGGAGTCAAGCACTTTCCTCATTTCAATCAGACAATACAATGTAACTGGACAGTGTGACACTCCAGTATGGGTTTCATTAGTTCCACAAATGCATTATCTCACATCCTAAAATATAAAGATGAACACGACGGCATTTATCAAAAGCTTCACTGAAATGATAAATGTTAAATTGTGGGTTACCTGGGAAAGACAGTCATTTTTACTCATGAAAATGTCACTCTAACAAATACATTTAATTGAAGGAAATGACCTACAAGATGAGTTTCTGTAAGTGGATCCCTGGACTGCTAGGGAGACAGCTTGCAGTGAGGGTCAGAAAGAGGGCACAGAGGTTAGAGGGAGCACAGACACAAGGGGAGGATGTGGAGAGAGCTAGAAAGGCTCAGTCTCCCGGGTAGTGAGCACTCACCTCTTCTAAAGCTACAAAGGCACAGACGCAGGGAAGAGTAAAACCAAAGCCAGGGTTTCTATTGCCCTAGAGGAATTCAGTCCCACTTGGGTAATTCCTGCACCAAACGACGGCCATTTCCAGTCTTGGGCCTCCTGTTTTTTGCTCTGTGTACTATCTCTTTCAGAAATTCATGTTCAGAAGTTGTAATTCAAGGGTACTTCAGAAAGTTCATGGTTTACAGATAAGTTTATTTTGGCACATACACGCAAAATTCCGAATCCCTGGTATTTTTTTTCCCCACAGTATACTATTTCCATGAATTTTTTTTTAAGACTTCTCATGCACCCAAAGATCAGATTCCCAAATCTGCATTTTCCTGCTTGCCCTGGAAGCTTGGTTTCAGTCATGTCCAATCACCCACTGGACAGCTCTGGAGTTTCCAAGTCCCTGTAAACTGACCATCCATAGCCAGAGTTCACCTCTTCCATCTAAAATTCCTCTCTTCTTCAGTACTCTCTGCTTCTGTCAGCCAAAACATGCAAAACCTGGTCCTCACTGATTCTTCTCTGCTTTCACACCCCATGTCATTGTCACATCTGTCCACTTTCTCCATAGTGTTTCCCACCTCCACCCCGCTCTGCCTCTGGCCTCACGGCCTCACAGGTCTCACTGCTGCTTGCTTTCTGGCCTTTCCCAGTGTCCTGATCCTCCCCTAACACTTTCCAATGGCCCCCCTTGTTCTTGATTCTAAATTGGACTTGTTCTTTTTTGTTTCCTCCCACTAGAGTTTTGCATTACATCTTTTTCTCACTCCTACCCTTTTATCCACCATGGTGTCATCGATTTCTCTTAACTAAGTCTTGATCTCTCTTCAAATATTTTCTACCTTGGATACTTGTCACTACATACTCCTCCAACTCAACATTTCTAAACTGAACTCTTTGTCCTCACTGAACCTTGTTCTCTGGACCTGCCCTTTCCCTCAGTATGACTATCTGTAAAAGCATGGAACTTTGGAGTCACATTTGGGTTCCTCCCTTTCCTACTGCTGTAATTTCTGCTTAGCTTTGAATAGTTCAACTCTTCTATCCCATTTATTAAAACCTTTATTTCTTTTCATTTTGACTATTCTTATTCCACAAACTTCTGGGCTGCCCAATACTCTACACATGGCCATCAAATGAGCTTCCATGCAGAACTGGACTGAGGCCCTTGGCAGCTCCTACAGCCTGTAGCAGAGGTCAGCACCATCCCTTCCAGCCATCTGCTTCAACACTGCCATGGGCTCCCTAACTGTCTCACACTCTCTTTCCCAGCCTTGTTGGATGTGAATTTCTGCATAACCCATTTTCTTCCATAAATCTGCCTACCAAGATTATACCTAGTTTTCAAGCCCAGAAAAAGCCTCCTTCCTTTAGGAAAGCTTCTCTTATTCATCCAGCTACAAGTCACAACTCATCCCAAAGATCTCCCATTTTATACTTCAAGTAGAACATCAAGTAAACTGCGTCATATATAGAATAAGCTCTAGAAAGTCACTAAATGGGTTTATTCTCCTATTTCTTCATGTTCCTGGTACATTTATTACTTCCTGGTAAATAGACACATTACATTAACACTATCCTGGAATAACAGCATAGGACAAAGTCATCAGGTAAAAGAAAGGCCACTGTGTGCATTCTCACATCACTTTACCTCTCTTAGGTCATTTTAACTTTCACCCTGTATTTTCATACTTTCACTTAGGATTTCTCATCTAAATTTTCAGTGATGGCTCTAGTAAGTTTTTATTTAGAACTATTTACTGTGGTTTGTTTAAAATACTTAAGTAAATTAAATATTGGTATTGTCCTATTTTCCAAACTTTATCTCTTGCTTCTGGTTTCACGCTGTCTTCTCTGGTGCTACATTTGAGAACAGCCACTCCCTCAACTAATATTAACTTAGTACCTATGAAAGCTCTCATTTTTTGGCAATAAAATATATAAGATGAACAGATTCCAAATAAAACAGTGGCCACGGTGAGAGAACCATCCTCTGAGAAGGGCCATTTGGGGCTCAGAATTTGAATAAGTGAATCTAGATCTAAAGAAAGAAAGGTAAAAAACATTCTTGACAATCAGTGGGTTCAGTGAATTTAGAAAATAAAGAATTAGGGCCCGGATGCGTGGCCTAGCAGCTAAAGTCCTTGAGCGCCGGGATCCCATACGGGAGCTGGTTCTAATCCCGGCACTTCCCATCCAGCTCCCTGCTTGTGGCCTGGGAAAGCAGTGTAGGACGGCCCAAAGCCTTGGGACCCTGTACCCGCGTGGGAGACCCGGAGGAGATTTGAGGAGGTTCCTGGTTCCCGGCTTTGGATCGGCGCAGCACTGGCTGTTGCACTCACTTGGGGAGTGAATCACTGGATGGAAGATTTTCCTCTCTGTCTCTCCTCCTCTCCGTATATCTGACTTTGTAATCAAAATAAATAAAATCTTTAAAAAAAAAGAAAATTAAGAACTGAAGGTTAATTACTGACTCTTGACAAAGTTGCCAGAAAGATTAAGAGTTTACAATCAGCTCCACATGTGGTCAGAAAGGGTTAGTGCTAACTTCTGAATATATTTTCAGTAAGGTATAAAGAACAGAGCAAAATTTCAATGGTTCATGGAGGAAAACAAGTGGTTAAGCAACAAAATGTGAACAATCAACAACTAGACAGAGGTTAACCATTAGAAGACAGGAAAGGGAAAAAGGACATGAAGGAGAAAGGCTAGCAGAATAAACAAGCATTTGGATCACAGGAAGTTTTTTCCTAATCTATAAGGAAACCGAACTATTCAAAAACAGGAACATTTCATTAAGAGGGAGCATGCAAGAACAGAATTTGGAATGCTGGTTTATATCACCCTTTATACATGCTGCTGAAACGAGGACTGGGAATGAGAGGGAGCCCATATGTACCACTGCCCATTCCCTGGTCAGCTCTGGTCTCATGCTAAGATAGCATCACAGCTTAGAGGCAGCATGAGCTTGGCTGGCAGAGAAAGACAGATGGCCCATCTCCAGAAGAGTGTGCCAAGTCTTTGTCAAAAGGCCCAGTTGGCCATGTGCTAGGCAGCACAGCTATGGTCTTACAGACCCTTGCAGCTTTCAAGTCATGGTAACTTTGAACAGATCCCCAGCAAACCACCCCTCCTGGATTAAGAACTGGGATATGGTGCATGACGTAAGCGACTCCAGTATACACTGATAAACTTACCACAGAAACAGGTGTAGGTATTGGGAACATGTGCGGAAACATTCTGACAAGCAGGGCACCTCCAACCGCTCTGACCATCTGTCAGCAAAAACGGGAGTAAGCCAAATAAAGTTCTAAGAAGCCATGATACTGAAGTAGTGGAAACAGCATCAACACAAATACCAGACATTTAAGAAACAAATTCAAAATATTGCAGGTTTTACTTAAATACTGCATTTGGGCTTATACTTATAAGGACTCTTAGATACAATGAATCAAGTATTCCTTTTGTTCTAGTATTTCTAATGCAGGAAATACCTAGGTGTTTTGAACTAGAATCAGAGTTCAGACAGCATATTAATAATAACAGCTGCACTGTCCATGAATTCAAGGACACGTTGGGAGAAGTCTCCAATATACTACATAAATCTATAAAAGGCAGACACAACATGCTTGGGATAAACCAAACAATTATATTCTATACATTTCTAAAGCAAATTACCTAAAGCTGCTACCTAGACAAAATCTATCACTTTCAATGAAAGTGACCAAGTTTTTAAAATTAGGTCCTAAATCTTTATTGTTATATTAGGTTAGAGCTACAACTTAATTCTAGTAATCCGAAATATAATTAAGGTAACATTCTCTCTCTGAAGATAAAGTATTTACGAGGACTTAAATAGGATTTTTAAAGTTGGGTTTACAATCTGAATATATCAAATAGATGAAAATAACTACTCAGGACACAAGTAACTGACCTGCTTGAGATGCTGGAGAGCGTGCCCATTTCTTTATGCAACTCAAGTGAAACACATGGTAGCAACTCTGACAACTCCACACCGGGGCTGTGGCGCGCACCAACTCACAGCACACCATGCACTCATATTTTTCTGTAGTCAGCTGTTCTACCAGAGATCCTGTTTAAAAATAAGAGAAAGATTATCTGAAACACAGAAATCCATACTTCACTGTTTACTCAAGCATCAGTAAGTCATTTAAGTAAAGAATCCAGCAGCATGGAGCAGTAGGCTAATCCTGAGAGGGCCTCCCAGATTTCTACCTCTGTCTCACACAGCCCCGCCACAGTCTCCTCCCTGTGAACAAGGATGGCCCCGACCTTTGTCATTTGAGCCTGTTAAAAAAGAGTCTGGAGATGAGAAATGCTTTCTCAAGGCCTCAAAACAACAGAATGCTAGATTGTAGGGAGCACCGTACAGTAGGAAACTAAGGGTCCCCTAGAAGCTGAGAGTGTATCTCGTCAATAGCCACCAAGAACACAGGGATCTCACCTGTGAGGAACTAGTCCTTCCATGCAAGAGGGATTCTGGGCCTCAGGTGAGAGCACATATGTGGCTAAATTCCAGCCCTGGGAGATCTTGAGCAGAGAATCCAGCTAACCCATACCCAGATTCTTGAGCCACAAAAACTTTGACAAAATAAATCTGTGCAATCTTTATGAAGCTATAAGACATAATGAGCCAGCCTTAAGTATTCAAAAAACAGTTCTGGTGTAACAATGCTTTGTGTGCATGTGAACTGAGGTCACAAGGACCATCTGGTGAAACAAACAAGCAGAACTGAAAAACAGTGCCAGAGCAGGCCCTGCACAGGTGGTGGCTTCCAGGGCCAGGCGGTACCTAGTCTCATGAACTGGAAGGTGACTAAGACAGTGAGATCAGCAGAATGAGGATGGCCTGATGAAATTATATTCTGGGAATCATGAAAATGTTCTCAAAGACTGACTGTTCTCAAAGTTGACTTGGGGAGTCAGCACTAGGGTATAGATTAAGCAGCTGCATCCCAAATCAGTCTGTCAGTTTACGTTTCAGCTATTTCATTTCTGATTCAGTCTTCTGCTAATGCATTTTTGCAGGCAGCAAATGACAGTCCAAGTGCTTGGGCTCCGGTCACTCATATGGGAATTCCGGATGATGTTCCTGTCTCCTGGTTTTGATCTGGTCCAGTCCTGGCTGTCATGGGCATTTGGATGGAAGACATTCCCCTCCCCGCCCCCACCTTATCATTACCTTCCAAATGGATGAAAAGAAATAAATGAACATTTTTAGAAATCTGATTTGCAATCATGGGGGAAGAAGACGGTGAGAAGAGGCTCGCTGGGTACTTTATACCAGAAGATAAAACTTGATCCAAGACTAGAAGGGAAATAGTGGGTGGGCTCCTCCCTTTTAGATTACCACTTCCACTGGAGAGCACAAAACCAGGACTGAGGTAGGGGTGGCTAGTGGAGCTGGTTAGGGTTGAACTAGGCTTCAATGCCCATAGGCATGTGTGAGAGCTGAATGGGATGCGGGACACAGTAGACTAGCCTGCTGCACATACTGGCAAGCATGGGAACCAGGGCAGGGGGTAGGCCTGGTGGGGGTTATTATGGGTCACTCCAGCTAGGCTGAAGCTCCCACTGGTTTACATGAGGGCCATGTGTATACTGGGCAATATCAGGCTGGACTGCAACACCCATTGGTTCCAGTGGAAGACAGGGCTGGAAACAGAACCGACCCAGCAATTGCAACCACCAGGTGATTGGGGCGATGGGCTGTACCAGGCCCTGTACTTAAAAATACACACAAGAATCTGGTCTGGGAACACCTCAGACAAAGTTTCTTTGGGGATCTCCCCAATTGAACTGCTGGACTCAGAACTCATGGTCTGCCTTGGAGTACAAATGCCGGAGCCGAGCCTTCCCAGAGGCTCAGATGGACCAGTGGAGAGCATAACCAGCTTCACATGGAGGATATGGCAGTCTATCGGAACCTGCAGAGGATACCTGGCATCACAACAGAGGACAGAACAATCAACTACCCCAGCCATATGTTGGCAGTGAAAAATTGGGCAAACGGATACTCTAAGGAGGACTATGTCAATCAGTGGATTCTGTAGCAACTTCAATTTTGCTTGGAATGGCAAGACTGGCAGCAATTCATAACTGTTGAACTATCAAAACCAATTGAGCAAGACCCTCAGAGCATGCCCCCCTTCAGGGACCTGGGATGGGTGGGAGACTGGGTGGGGCTTTTCCCTTTATCTCCCCTTTTACCCCAGATACAGAAAAAAAAAAAAAAAAAAAAACAATGTGGAAATAAGTCTTACCCACTTTCCTGTAGCCCTTGAACCCTTTTGCCCTATTAACTATGTAAAGATTGTCAAAAATATAAAGGAAAAAAAAAAAAAAAAAAGAAAAACTTGAGCCAAGGGATGAAGTCTATTTATAGAAAGGAAGTTTTCAGTTCAATGTAATGATGAAGTTTTTTAAAAGTCAGCATGGAGTACACAGGGAGTTCCGAGAGTTATGTTAGTGAAGTTACAAAAAATTTTAAAAACAGCATATGCTTTTAAGGAGCTTAGGGATTAGTAGAGGCCACTGACACATAAATTAATGTTTCTAGTGGTAACTTCTGTAATCCAACCATGTAAAGCAAGGACAAAGACATACAATAAAGGCTAGAAGAGATTCATGCTATTAACAAACATGAGAAAAGGTTCCCTGAGCGTGTATCTAGCTTTTGCTAATGAGAAAGAATTCACCAGTGAGTCCTCGCCTTGAGTGCCCGGGATCCCTTATGGGCGCCAGTCCTAATTCCGGCAGCTCCACTTCCCATCCATCTTCCTGCTTGTGGCCTGGGAAAGCAGTCGAGGATGGTCCAAAGCCTTGAGACCCTGCACCCACATGGGAGACCTGGAAGAGGTTTCTGGTTCCCGGCTTCAGATCTGCGCAGCACCGGCCATTGCGTTCACTTGGGGAGTGAATCATCAGATGGAAAATCTTCCTCTCTGTCTCTCCTCCTCTCTGTATATATGATTTTGTAATAAAAATAAATAATCTTTAAAAAAAAAAAAAGAATTTACCAGTGAGCTCACTACAAGAAATTCTAGACAGAGTGCTGCATGCAAAAGCATGGAAATACAAAACAGTACTGAACTGATAATAAGATGTGGCAGAGAGAGGCAGGTGTTGTGGCTACCAGCTGCGATGCCTATATCTGATACTAGAGTGCTTGGTCTACTCCAGCTACAATGTTTCCAACCTAGCTTCAGCTAATAGGCTTGGGAAGGTAACAGATGTCGGCCCAAGTGTACTGGGGTCCCTACCACCTATATGCCAAACACAGTTAAGAGTTCCACGTTCCTAGCTTTGGCTTGGGCTAGGTCTGGATATTCCACGCATTTGGGAATGAACTAGACAGAAGATTCCTCTTTCTGTCTTTTTCTCTCTCTGTCATTCTTTCAAACAAATAGATCTTTTTTGAAAATGTGGTGGAAATTGAGAAGGCAGAAGATTGCTGAGTAGGACAGAAGCCAGAGTCTGAAGATCTTGAGGTCACTGAGTAGAATTTTTTTTTAAGAATTATTTATTTTTATTGGAAAGTCAGTTATACAGAGAAGATCTTCCGTCTGATGATTCACTTCCTAAGCGGCCACAATAGCCAGAACTGAACTGATCCAAAGCCAGGAGTTGGGTGCCTCTTCTAGGTTTCCTACAAGAGTACAGGTTCCCAAAGCTTTGGGCCATCCTCAATTGCTTTCCCCAGGCCACAGCAGGGACCTAGATGGGAAGTGGGGTTGCTGGGATTAGAACAGGTGCCCACATGGGATGCCAGTATGCGCAAGGCAAGGACTTTAGTCACTAGGCTACTGTACCATGCCCCACTGAATGGAATTTAAAAGTGACATAATACAGGGCCTAAGTTGTGGAGTGGTAAGTTAAGTCTCCTTGTGAGGTGCCAGCAACCATATAGGCACCATTTCTAGTCCCAGCTGTCCCACTTTTCAGTCAGCTCCCTTCTTATAGCCTGGGAAAAGAGTGGATGGCCCCAAACCTTGGAACCCTGCATCCACATAGGGGATCTGGAAAAGCTCCTGGCTCCCAGTATTGGATCAGCTCAGCTATGGCAACTGTGGCCATTTGGGGAGTGGACCAGTGGATGGAAGACCTTTCTCTGTAAAATCTGCCTTTCAAATAAAAATAAATAAATCTTAAAAAGAAAAAAAACAGGAAGCACTTGTTCAGTATAGAAGCAATCCTTTTCCAGAATGTTTTTAATACATGGTTGAACTCATAGAAACACAATAGCACCACCCTTCCAGCTCCCTGCTTGTGGCCTGGGAAAGCAGCAGAGAATGGCCAAAGCCTTGGGACCCTGCACTTGCATGGGAGACCCAGAAGCTTTTGGCTCCTAGCTTCAGATTGGCTCAGCTTCGGCTGTTGTGGCCACTTAGGGAATGAAACAAGCAGATGGAAGATCTTTCTGTCTCTCATTCTTCCTGTAAATCTGCCTTTCCAAGAAAAATAAAATTAATCTATTAAAATCTATTTCCCCACTTTGTATTTTTATACTTCCCAGGATCTAAACTGTGTGAATACTATCTATTTTAAAGTTACAACTAAAACTAAAAAAAAATTTCCTCTAGATAGATTTACCTGTGTGAGTTTCCACATTCTTGAGCACATGGTTCTGTTTGCCTCTGGAGAAAGGAGACACCACCTGAGGATCCTGCCTCCTCAGAGTGCATTTCTCTTGGTCAATCCTTCTGGAAGACTTGTTGACAACTGCCAAATTCCCGTTGTCACAGGCAGGTTTTGCTGGTCTCTCATTGAGATTATCCTTTGGAATGGAGCCCACGTTGTTTCTGGGCCCTGTGTTTGTCTGCTGGCGCGGACTGTCCTGTTTTGGTGGATTTCTGCCTGGTCGTGGCCTAGCCCCCTCCACCTCCCAGGGAGGCCTTTTCTGTGGGTATCTTTTCTGTTCATTTCGTTTGGCCCCACACCCATCTACTGCTGCTTTCCTAGAAGATGCATCTGAAGAATCGAGGGCGAAAACCACTACAGGTTTGGCATTTTCGGGGACAGCATCTTCAGGTTTTGGAATTATTCTATTACCCCACTCGCATTTCAGTTTACCCTTGATTTTTGGTCCTTTACCATAGCTGTAGAGAGACTGTGCTCCTTTTTTGGGTTTTGCTCCCCTGGGATCTGCACCAACAATTTCCTTCTCGCTCTCAGAGGGGCTGTGCTCTATGGGGTTTGTCCCACTCTCCAATCTGGTCACACTTTCCAAGCTGATTACATCTGAAGTCTGATCAGTGAGATTCTGTGCTTTCTTGATTCTCAGGTGGTGCTTTTCGCTCCTCAATTTGTGCCAGGGCTGACTCTGAAGGCCATGGCTTTTGGATGGTTTATGAGAAGCAGAGGAGTGGAAGGCAGCTTGCTGACTCCTGGGTTTGCTTCCTAACGGATGATAACTGTGTTGATGAATGGCAGAGATGTCCTCATAAGGGAGCTGCCTGGAAAGGTGACAGGGAGGTGGTGAACTGTAATTTCTTCTACCACTTCTACCAGAGTCTAATCTCCTTTGGGCTCCACAATTTAGACCGGCATTTTTTCTCTCGTGAGGAATGAACTCAGCAGCATCTGTATTGAATCTGAAAGTGCCTAAGACACAAGAAATAGACACATCAGTAAAGAAAACAATTTATCATCTATGAATTTCTGTAAAACTCTTGATCATATCTAAAAATTATTTTCTTTTGACTTGCATGAAACACACTCCCTGTCAGACCTCTAGTTCCACACAGAGGTTATGGATTCAATGTACTTGTGGAAGACCCATCAGTCCATGTGCAGGAGCCAAATCAATAGCCACTGACAGCTAAGAGTTTGGGTAAAAATCAATGGGCACATCAGGTACTATGTCTACATGCATTTACTTTGCAAAACAAACCAACCCTTAAAGGTCGGGTAGCTGTCCAGATACCGATCGTCAGATTCTACATGAACTTTCAACCTTCTAAAGCAGCATTGTGTAACACCAAGCAAATAGGCTTTGGGGTCAGCTCTCCAACTAACATGTGAGCTTAGGGGTATCACTTGACTGCTGCAAGCCTTAACTTCCTCATCCATGATAGAAAATGACAATAAATTTCAAAAGTTACTATAAGATTCAATAAGACCTGATACAGACAGTGCTGAACACTGCAGTACATCAGTGTCCATCTCCTCCTCCAGGAAGACATCTGAGGGTTTTTATATGTAACTTCTATAATAGCATCGAGAATCTTAAAGTCTCAAAAACTAACCATACTTCCCTTCAACCCACTCATCTTTTCCCTATGATGCTCTAAATGAGTCCCTGAAGCTCAAAGACAAAAGTGACTTGCCCGAAAACACAACACTAGCTAATAAACTCAGAACTACATATTGTGTAGAACATGCTATGAATCAATAGGACCTGGAAGGCACGCATTAAGTCTTTGTCCATCATGTACTATGACTTTGTGCAAAGCCTAAACTTTCCCGTAAGTAATGGAAATATAACAACACCTTTATCAAAGAGCTGCTATGAAGAACAAAGCAAGTTAATGTCACAGAAGTGGTTAAAATGGGCCTTCGTCATTGCTGGTAGAGATTATGTGAGACACAGATTCAACCACACACAGTACAGTCCACAACTTGTGGCCTTCATGTTCAATGTGGTACCAAGTATGTGACAGCCACTATCATAAACACTTAAAGAAAAAAAAACCCAGCCATAAAAAAACAACTTGCACAAGCTTACATTACTTCTCAGGATTCCAAAGCAGGACGTGTGGCATTAGAGACCATGCTCTTACACTATGGTATGCAGACAAGCTGGGGAGTGTATGCCACAGGAACATACAGGGAAGAACTGAACAGGATTACAAAGGCCATTAGCATAACTTATTCAACTCAGGATTTGTCTCCAAAGTTTTCACAAAAGCAGAATTCTGGAAGTAAAGTAGAAAGCCTCACAGGATGGCAAGAGGATCAGACAAATTCAGGAGGTGGCAAAAGTATTCCAAAACGGGTAGAATGGGCCAAAAGATACTGGTTGGTTCTTTCTGGCTTGAAGAAACAAGGCTGGAGAGAGGGGTAGAAATAAGGCCAACACCCTATCCAGAGTGGGCTGGTCAAGGGTGGGAAAAGGGTGCTTCATGTTGAACAGTAGTGAACCGATCCTATTCAAATACAGTAAGTGTTCCACCAGACAAGAGGTAATGGTGTTATGGCCTAAGAAATATGCTTAGGACAAAAAAGGAAAAAGAGGCACACCGATCAGGACACTGGACCATGGCAAAGATCAACACAGCAGCCCAGCAGGTGTCCTCCAACACCAAATAGCGCAGGCACACGAGGAGAAACCCAGCTGCAGGCCCTGAAGCTAAGGCACAAAGCAGGTTCAGGACACTTTGTCCACAGGCACAAAGACACTCTCTGTACCTAGCTGTTGTTTAGCAATCTTGAACAGGGATGGAAGTCTGGGCTAGAGATGAGTCTAAAGTAAGAACATGGACCTGAGGGCCCAGCGCGGTGGCGCAGGTGGTTAAGGTCCTCACCTTGCACGCCCGGGATCCCATATGGGCGCCGGTTCTAATCCCGGCAGCCCCGCTTCCCTTCCAGCTCCCTGCCTGTGGCCTGCGAAAGCAGCAGAGGACGGCCCAAAGCTTTGGGACCCTGCACCCACGTGGGAGACCCGGAAGAGGCTCCTGGCTTCGGATCGGCATAGCATTGACCGTTGCGCTCACTTGGGGAGTGAATCATCGGATGGAAGATCTTCCTCTCTGTCTGTCCTCTCTGTATATCCGCTTTTCCAATAAAAAAATAGTAAAAATAAATCTTAAAAAAAAAAAGAACATGGACTTGAAATAAAAATAACAGAAGGCACAGCAGTGGGAGGTGTCTGGACTACAGCCTCAACAGGGTGTAGAGGACAACCTGCACACAGATGGCACCCGGGCCCCACAGCGACAGCTATAGCTGGCAACCTGTGGTGGTGCGGAAATCAATGGATTCAGTCTAGAAGTCAGGTGAAGGACTAGATGGGATGAAAAAAAACCAGCAGCAGCCTGAAGTTTGCCACCCCACTATATAATGCTACAATGAGGACTAGGGTATGACAGTTTCATTTCAATTTTTTTTAAAACTAAGGTCCACGATATTAAATACATCTTACTTGCCACCCCACATATACTTTTTATAGTCTTGGTATTGGTTGATAATAAAACTATGATTCAAACCAGCAAATGTTTCCAAACTCCATGCTGGAAACTGCTGGTCTGTGTTTTAGAAGTTGGGGATCATGAAATAAAAATCATTGTCATGGGTTGTCACCAGCCTTAAAAAAAAAAAAAAAAAAAAAAAAGCAAAACCAAAATAGAATATACTACAGATAGCAAAGGGAACTACCGCTTCCTGAAACTTCGGGTGCCCGTTTAGAGCCACGTGAAGTGTGCACTTGAGGTGGTGATAAACTGTTTTTCTGATTGCCATTCAAAGAGTCTAGCCCAAGATGTTCTACCAACACGTACTAACTAGGCTGTCTCCACGCACAGAGGCACCTCCCAGGAGAAAGTGCGTTAAGTCAGGGGATACGGCCGGTATTAACTTCTTAGGAAGACACTGGAACACGGTCACACACAGCGGCTGGCGGGGTGGGGTGCTCGCGCCAGCGCCGCCACCACCACTGTGGGAGCTGAACACACCCCAGGCATGCGCGCCAACCCGCGCGCCGTCCAGCGCCCGCCACCGGCCCCGGCGCGGACCCCGCGGCCGTCCGCCCACCGAGGGCAGGGCGCGGCCGCCTCCGCAGGCCCGAGCGTGCCCCTGCCGCAGGGCCGGGGGCCCACGGCGGCTCCCTGGGCGCCAGCGGACACCCCGGCGGCTGGGCTTCACCATCCAGTCGAAGATGGTGGAGCTCTCCATACGCAGCACGCGCGGGTAGCTTGGCCCTTGCGAGCCACTATCGCCAAGCCCGACACGCGCCGCTCTCGCGATACGAAGGGCTTAAGGGCCCCCAGGACTTTGTCACGGACCTAATTTCCGCTCCCTGAGAGGGACCCAGACCCGCGCGGGCCGGGACAGTACCTGAGACAGGAGGCGCCTCCGCCATCCCGTGCCGCAGCACCTAAAGCCAGCCCTGCAGCCCAGCGAGCGCTGTCACCCGGTCACGTGCCACGGACTTCCGGCGCCACGAGAAGATTTGCATCTGCGCGCCGAGTAGGCGGCCGCGGAAGTTGCGCAGTTCCAACCTAGTTTAGGGCGCATCCCTGACGTCAGACAGACGCTCCGAGCGCTGGGCGGAAGGGGAGGTTTGCAGCCGGAGGCGGCCCCAGGTTTCGGGAGGGCGGGGTGAGGGGTGGAAGCAGGTTTTGCGTAATCATATTGTTTTTCTTTGAGACATTCGCTGTGCTTTCCTTTTGCCCTGACCTTCTGTCCTCTAGCTGACTTCAGATGATGTCAGGGGTCAGCTCATAGGTTATTTTCCTCATAGATAGGATTGGCGTTAAAAAAAAAGTTACAACCTGGTGCTGTGGCCTAGTGGCTAAAGTCCTCGCTTTGAATGTGCCAGGATTCCATATGGGCACTGGTCCTAAGTCCGGCAGACCCTCATCTTCTAGGTTGCTGGTAAAAGCTATTTTTAGGGAGGTGTCTCAGAGGAGGCACTCCAATAAAACCACCTTGAAAGATCTACAAGTTTCTGGCTATGGCCACTGCACACTGTAACGGCTAGGAAGAAGCCAGGTGTGTTCTAAGAGCCAGAGAATGAAGAAGCTTGATCAACCAAAACCACCACAAACAGGAAGCAAAACCATTTCTCCCAGCAGCCTCTCACCAGTGCCCTCTGTTGACAAAACTTGCCAGCTGGCAGAGGACAAGCATTCAAAGGGCCCAGTCCAGTTCACAGATGAAGGAGTAAATTCAAAACGTGAAAGCAACACATTCTCAGCTGGTATACTGGAGAATCTGCTCCTGATTTTCAAAACTTACAAATTTAAATGCATATTTGTCTTTCCATGCAAACACTACTTCCTACAACTTCCCAAAGATTCACAGATATTTGGGATGGGAGACACCAGTTGGGACTCTCACGTCTCATACCAGAGTACTTGGGTTTGAGTCCGGCTCTGCTTTACTAGTCCAGATTCCTACTAATGTATATTCCAGGAGGCAGCAGTACTCTGGTTGTTGCCACCCACAAGGAAGGCCCAGATCGTTCCTGGCTCCTGGTTTCAGCATGACCTAGCTCCAAATTTGAGTGTGAATCATTGGGTGGAAGAGTTCTCTTTGTACATCTTTCTGAATCTGAAGTAAATATAAATAAATAAATATAAATACATAGAGGAAAATTTGCTGAGAATCATCTCTAAAATAATGTGCTTATTTTGGATACATTCGATTTTAAGTAATGATGGGACATTTAAATGGAAATGCTCAGGACTGAAAGTAAGTCTGGAGAAACGTCCAGGATAGAAACAGTTGCTTGGGCCTGGGGCAGCAGCCTGGTGTCTAAAGTCCTCGCCTTGCATGAGCCAGGATCCCATGAGGGCACGCACAGGTTCGTATCCTAGCTGCTCCATTTCCCATCTAGCTCCCTGCTTGTGGCCTAGGAAAGCAGTAGAGACTAGCTCAAAGCCATGTGTTCCTGCACCCACATGGGAGACCTGGAAGATGCTCCTGGGTTCAGATTGACTCAGCATCAGCTGTTGCAGCCACTTGGGGAGTGAACCAGCAGACAGATCTTTCTCTGTCTCTCCTCTCTCTAAATCTCACTTTTATTAAAAAATGAATCTTAAAAACAACAGTTGCTTGGAATCATTAATAGATATGTAAAGTTTAAATTATGGATGGGAGATTTCTCAAGGAGCAAACAGACTGGAATATGTTATTCAGCTTCCAGGGCTGAATAACAAAGAGGCATCATGGAACCATAGCCAAAGAAACAGAAAAACCAAGAGAATATATAGAGAAGACAAGAAAGGTTTCAAGAAGACAATGATGAATGGCATAATGAGTTTTTTTGAAAAAAATTATTTATTGGAAAGTCAGATATACAGTGAAAAGGAAAAACAGAGAAGATCTGTCCACTGATTAACTCCCCAAGTGACAATGGCCTGAGCTGAACCGATCTGAAACCAGGAGCCAGGAGTCTTTTCTGGGTTGTCCACATTGCTGCAGGGTCCTAAAGCTTTGGGCCACCCTCAACTGCTTTCCCAGGCCACAAGCAGGGATCTGGATGGGAAGCAGGGTCGCTGTGACACGAACCTGCACGCATACGGGATCTTGGAACATGCAAGGTGAGGACTTCAGCTACTAGGCTACTGTGTCGGGCCCTGCCATAATGTTGATTCCTATTGAAAGGTTTAGTAGGGGGTTAGGTAGGTAAGGATTGCATATATAGTTCAATCGTATCTTTAACTAGACAATGAACTTAGGAAGAGAACTTTGATCATTCTAGATAACCCCTATGTTGGTAATAAGCCTTCTACAAAGTTGGTATTCAATAAATGTTCATTAGTGTTCTGCAGACATGAGGTACCCAGCTGGGGGCTGGCGGGGGGACATGGGGAGAGATGCTTATGGTGAGTGGAAGTGAGGAAGGAAGGTTAAGATCATTAAAGACCTTAAACTCTGGCAGGAATATGAACTTGCTGTAGCAATAACAGGCACTTCCAAAAAAACAAAACAAAACAAAACAAGAAGCAATGAAAAAACAAAAATAATGAAGCCCTTGCTTTTTTTATGGTTAATAATTTCTCATATGAGAAGAGCACATTGCAGTAAACAAAAGTAGTTATGATGATTACCTCAATTGTTTCTCACAAAAGCTATGTACAATAAGCATGGTTTTGTTAGCAGGGAAGCAGGCATTTAGAGAAGTGTAGTAGACTACTCAGCAGTTAGAAGATGGTAGCACCCAGGGCCAAGCCCCGATTGTTCCTTGCTGTTTCTTTTTTTAACTTTTGATTGGAAAGCCTGATTTACAGAGAGAAGGAGACAGAAAGAAAGATCTGGCTGCTGGTTCACTCTCCAAGTGGCCACAATAACAGGAGCTGAGCCGTTCCGATGCCTGGAACCAGGAGCATCTTCCGGATCTCTCACAGGGGTACAGTATCCCAAGGCTTTGGGCCATCCTCTGCTGCTTTCCCAGGCTATAAGCAGGGAGCCAGAAGGGAGGTGGCGCACCCAGGATACGAACCATATGGTATCTCAGCACATGCAAGGCAAGGATTTAGCTACTAGGTTATTGTGCCAGCCCCGCCTTACTCTTTCTTCTATAGTACAATGCTGTGGACTCAAATTGGATTCTGAATTAACATTAAATTTATATTAAATCTGATTTTGAGATGAAGTATTTAGGCTAAAAAGTGATATTAATAAAGTTATATCCTTTTGAAAAATATTTATTGAGTATAAATAAATGTCCTATACATTAAATATCAAGAAATATTCATTATTGGTTACAAGTCAGACTACAATACTGAGGGAACCACAGAATCAATATACCCACTTATGATACAGTAGTGATAATTCCATTCCAATACTGCACACAGTGATTTGCTCACAAGACACAACAAAATCTATCAAAAAAGGCCATCACTTTAACCACCCTATAATGCCACAATAGAAAATGGTTTTGAATTTTAATATGAACAGTCTCAATAATTTCATCTTTGCTTCAGAAATTTATCAGCTCATTTTGAGACTGCAGAGTTCCACTGTCATGGAATTTAAATATTCTCATTTCCTAGGTTTTATTTTAAATTGCTATTAATGAATGAAAACGTGTCATACAAAGTCAAAGACACTTCTAAGTAAGTTAATCTTTCATAAGAGAAAAAAAAAATCAAATTTTAGTACAAAGAAAGCATTCCCCAAGCAATGAGTCTCTTAACGGAAAACAAAAGAGCAGTGTGATTAGCTTTTCTTTAAAAGAAAGGGAAAAAACCCAAATTTGTTATGGTAAATTTGGAAAGAGGAATATTTTCCAGTCCCAGAATATTCGCTGATTTTACGTGATGGAATTGAGTCATTGAAGTCTATGAAGCAGGGATCTGTGGCAATCCAAATTCATCCACCAGTACTCCATCCTGCGAAAAGGAGGTAATGTTTAGTACCACTATTTTCCACTTAATGAAAAATCATTACACCAGTTTAGTTGAAATTCATTTCCAAGTATTTCATCAGTAAAAGCCCCCATCCTACTCAGAAGACGAGGGTAAGTGAATCAGGAAAAGAATCAGAAAACAGAAAAGGGTGTGATCCTTTCTTGGGTAAAGGGAGGGAAACAGCATATATGAGTGAACACAGGAAAGGGTGAAGGAAGCTTGAAGGGCAAAAGAAAAAGGCAGAGGTGCTGTTAGTCCATCCCTCCAGATTCACAATTGCCCTGATTCCTAAGATGGATCCTGTAGATCCAGTTCCTTTAGAAGCCTCCCAAATCCTTGAAGGAACAGTGCCCCCAGTCACTTCCAGATTATGCCTTTTTACAAAATCATAGGCACTGGTACCACTATTAAGAAATCAGGGCCTGTTAGGTGTAGCAGATAAACTCCTGTGTGCAATGTCAGCATCCCATATGGACACCACTCTGTGTCCCTGTTGCTCCACTTCTGATCCACCCTGCTGCTAATGGCCTGAGAAAACCAGCAGAAGATGGCCCAAGTGCTTGGGCCCCTGCACCTATGAGAGAGACCAGGATGAAGCTCCTAGTTCCAGGTTTGATTTCATGCAGCCTTTGGGGAAGTGAACTAGCAGATGGAAAATCTCTGTCTCCCTTTCCAATTCTGCCTTTCAAATAAATAAATCTTAAAAATAAAAAACAAAAACCACATAGCACATTTAACTCAGAAATCTGTGACCTTATAAAAGTGGAATTAACATAGATGATCCAGGAACTTGCTACTAGGGACTTGAAAGCGGTAACTGTGGTAGTGTTAATCTAAATTACTTTGGGGACACAGAGACAATGTGTGCACCTGGAACTTCAGAGAGGTTGGACTGAGAGGGTACAACTGCTCAGGCTCGAGAGAGAAGGCATGATACCAATGGAGATACTGCACAGTCTAAGAAATCAGCTATAAGGGCCCTGAGAAATCACCTGCTCTCTGACCTTTGCTCTCTACATTTTATGAGTGGGAAAAATTGATGATGTTCAGAGAAAAGATGTAAGTTTTGGACTGGCTCAAAGTCAAATGGTAAATAAAGGCATAACTATGTGAATAAGGCACAACTAAGGCTGGCTCCCACACAGTTTGCCAACTACATTGCATAGATTTAGGATTCAGAGTGGGAAAGTAAACACCAGACTATAAATATGCAGTAATTACAGAAAAAAAAATGAGAGTATACTAAGGTGGAACTAAGATGCAGTCAATGAGATTTTATAAGCAATAAAATAATCTGTTTACAATAACAATTATGTAGAGTTGGGGATGGCTTCAAGGTTTTTTGTTTGTTTGTTTTAAGGTTTACTTACTCATTTGAGAGAATCAGAGAGAAGGAGAGACAGATCTTCTCTGTCTGCTGGCTCACCCCCCAACTGGCTGAAACAGATAGGGCTAGGCCAGGCTGAAGCCAGGAGCCAGGAGTTAGGAGTTTCATCCAGGTCTCCAACATGAGTAGTAGGGGTTCTATGGGGCTTTTTTCCCAGGCCATTAACAGGAAGAATTGAAAGTGAAGCATCCAGGGCATGAATGGATCCCCATATGGGATGCTGGCACCACAAGAGGTGGCTTGCCAACTATGCCACAGTACAAGCCCCAGGAAAAAGCTTTAAGTTTATAGAGTTCTTTAGATAACACTATTTAATTTGCCCTAGACAACTACTGTGAAATATTTGCAGTTACCTGCACATCACAGATGCAAAGAACAGAAAAACTCACAGCAGTTTTTCTATCACAGTTAGTGCCAGATGGATGTCCTGATCTTGTGCAATTAGAATCCTTCTCCATTAAGATTTCTATTAGATTATTAATCCCATGTTTAAAAAAACCCATTCAAAAATTAACACCAGTACGTCTGGAAAGCAGGACTTTCTTTAATACTTCACCTCATGGGAAGCTCACGGTTGATGTTTTCCCCAGAAAATGTCTAAAACCGGCAAATGATACCCAGTGCTAGCTCACAATGGGGATTATGATATGTATTAAACAAATTGCCATTGTAAAACACATTCCCAAGTCCCAGTGACACAATTAAAGTAGCCTGTTATCATCCAGTACAGGAAAACTGGCCTTTCAAGGGTTCTCAAAATAATCACCAGGATTGTCTTTGTCCTAACTTAATGACTACCATTTAGATTTGCAGGCTGGTGATCAGGCATACAACTTTGACCATTTTTCTTAGAAATACAAACAGGAAAAATGTTCACCTTGTTTTTCGTGTCAGTGGGAACACCTTCTGGAATTGCAGGTGCAGACGCTGCTTCATCCAAGTAAGAACTATCTTCATCAGCCAGGAGCTCATCACCCAGGGCATCCAACTCTGAGATGGAAAACAGCATTTCAAATGAAAATGTAAGCAGTGCAATTGTCAGGTTGATGTGTTTCAATGTTAACCAAGTCAATTATTTATCATAAAATGAAAACTTAAATTCAAAGAGAAAGGATTTTTTCATCACTTGTCTCAAGATACAAGGTGACTATGGTCCGTGGCCGCAATGAAGGAATCATGACTAGTTACAGTCTGTACTACTGTAACAATATGGAGGAATTCAATATGGAGGGGAGGGCTTGGGGAAGGGTTGAAAGAATCCCAGAGCCTATGAAACTGTGTCATAAAATGAAATAAATGTATTTAAAAAAAAAAAAAAGATACAAAGTGACTAAGAAATTTTAAGGAGATTTATGTAGAAAAATCTATAAAAAAAACAAAAGCAAAAATTCATGTAAAACAAATAATCATTTCCGCACAAATTTACAAGACTCCAGTCTTCATAAGAAGACTTTAATTGGCCAATTCAAGAAAGAAAATCCTGACAACAAATGCAAACAATTCTATTTATGGATTTGAAAGAAGGAATGAAATTGTTGCATATTACATGATCATTACAAGAAATTAAGCTCTAAAAAAACCTGTAATAAGGCAAATTGGAAGCAGCCTGGAAAAATGGCACTAGAAGGCAGAGACATCAGGGGACATTCAAGATGGAAAATTAAAAAATAAAAGATAATAAAAGGCTTTAAGCAAGTACAGACTTTGAAGAAAAAAGCAGTAATGGGGAATCATGCAACAAAAACTAAATACGGAGTGATTCCACCACTTATTCATGCCAGAAATCAGCAACTGTCCTCCTCAGTGCCTCCCTTTCCTCTGTACTCAGATAACCACTAGGTCTTATCACTCAATCTCCTAACATCTCTTCAATCAATTACCTCTACTTCTGCTGCCATCACCCAGGTCTTAGCTACTTGCTCCTTTCATGCTCTAAAGATTTACATTGTTTTTCTCATAACTTACCAGCTTCAAGGTCATCTTCATCTAATTCTGGGGTGCCATAACTACGACTCAGTGCTTCTTGGATTTCATTAGCATCTTCCATCATATCCTCTAGCTGGTCTTGTAAATCCTATAGAAATATGTGTCACAAATTTTTTTTTTCTAAGTATTCCCTTCCCTTACGTTTTTCCTTTCAATCTTAGCAATGAGTGATTTTTTTAAAAGTTAGTAAAATGTCAAAATTACAATCAGTTCTCATTTTGTTAGTTCAAGTGCCTTATCTAAATCCTTTGCTAGTGACCACTTTGCATGTTTGTTTTTTTTTTTTAAGAATTATTTATTTAGGGGATGGGTGGGAAGTTGGGTGCGGTTTTTCCCTTTGCTACTCCCCTAACCCCAGATACAGGGAAAAATGATTATATTAGTGTGGAAACAATGATATTACCCACTTTCACCCTGTAGCCCTTGACCCTTTGTACCCTAATCAAATAAGATTATTAAAAAAAAAGAATTATTTATTTATTTGAATGTCAGAGTTACATATATAGAGGTTCTCTATCTGTTAGGTTATTCCCTGAGAGGTAGCAGTGGTTAGTGCTGAGCCAGGCCAAAGCCAGGAGCCAAGAGCTTCATCTGGGTCTCTCACATGCATGGCAGAGGCCCAAGCACTTGGGCCATTTCCAGTTGTTTTTCCAAGTGACGTTAGCAGGAAACAGGATTAGAATTAGAGGAGCAAGAAGTCAAACTGGTGCACATATGAGATGCCAGCAATGCAGGCTGTAGCTTTTACCTGCTATGCCACAATACCAGCACCTATTTTTTTAAAAGGTTAGTGACTACTTAAAAAAGTATATTAATTTTATTTGAAAGACAGAGAGAGAGACTATTCCACCCATTGGTTCACTCTCCAAATGGCATTTGATAGTCAAGGCTGAGCTAGACAAAATCTAATGACCAGAATTTCATCCAGGTCTCCTACAGGGGTGGCAGGGACTTAAGTACTTGAACCATCCTCTGCAGCCTTCCCAGAGTACGCACTGGGAGGAAGCTGGACCAGAGGCCAACCAAGAGAGAGACCTGGAAGAAGCTCTGGGCTCCTGATTTCAGCTTGACCCAGCTCTGGCCATTGTGGCCATTTGGAGAAGGAATCAGCAGTTATTAGATGATACCTCTCTGTTTCCCTCCCTCTCTGTAATTCTGCATTTGAAATAAATAATATATAAATTTTTAAAAATCTAAAAAGGTAACTAATGGAAAATGGAACCAACTTGATGCCAGGTATTGTGTTAATAACCGGACCCATATATCCTCATTTAATACAGGCAGCAATGTCACTGCCTTCTGAGGAAACTGAACAAAAAGCATTGAGTTGTAAGTAACTGCTAAGTGCTTGTTCTGCACCAGACATACCACGTAGATATTTCTATTTATACCACCAACAGATGCCAGGTCTGAAGTTCAGTCCTTCTTCTTTGCTGCTTCCATCACTCAAGTTCGTTCACATTCTTTCAGAAACTGGTACAAGTTCTTGCAGAACCTGGCAGACATCTCACCTCAATCTGGTCGATTTTCACTTGCTTGTATGCCTTCTTCATTTCCTTTACTCCCAGTTTCATAGCATCAACCTAAAAGAAAACATAGTGTCTTAAGAAGCCACGTTGGTTGCAAATCACAGGGGAGAAATCCCAAGAATATAAAAATAAAATAATGGACAAAGGTGCTTTTGGCGTACCGTGGTCTTGGTGTCCTTCAGTGACTGGATGGTGTAATTGGCCTGCTCCATGTTAAATGACTGCTGGGCAAGGTTGTCCCGCTGCTGCTCATACCTTGTTTAGCATGAGTTGAGAATGGCAAATGTGAGACAAAAAGAAATTTTCAAGAAGAAAATATCCCTGGCAATCAAGGAGAATTTCTTCAGAAATATTTTTTGTATACAGCAAATTAGGACTGGCATTATGGTACAGCCTGTTAAGACTGCCACCTCAATACCAGCATGCCAAAGGAGCAGTGGTTTGAACCCCGGCTTCCCCACTTCAATCCAGTCCCTGCTAATGTGCCTGGGAAGCAGTGGAAGATGGCCCAAGTACTGGAGACCCTGCCAACCACATGGGAGAACTGGATGGAATTCCAGGTTGGTTTTTGCATTTAACATTTATTTTGAAAGGCAGCCTTAGAGAAAAAGACAGACAGACAGACAGTACAAGGTCAGGCCTGGTCTGTCACCTGCACCAGCAACACACAAACCCCCATGCAGTTTCCTGGTCACCCCCACCTTCCAGCCCCATCTCTCACATGAACTGATGGATGCTGCAGCCTAGCCCAACCCAGCTTGCCACGGGTTCAGTCTTCATGTACACCAGCGGGTGTCACAGCCTAGATGGGGAGAACCTCAAAAACCCTACCAGGACCGCTCCAGCCCTGGTCTCTGCATGAGTTGGCATGTACTGCAGCCTAGCCCAGTCTGTCCTGTATTTCATTTGGATCTTATACACACCCATGGGTACTGCAGCTAAGCTCAGATCTGCCTCCAGACCCAGCCCACATATATGCCAGCCAAGGGGTACTGCCTACTATGGGTACTGCAGTCCAGCCTGATGAGACTCACACCCAGTGAGTGCCAGTGGGTGCTGCAACCTAGACCAGCTGGCCTGTGCCCATTCTGGCTGTCTCTCTCACATCAACGGGTATAGCAGCCTAGCCCAGCCTGGCCTGCACCCCAGATCCGGCCCACGTACCAGCTGATGGGTGCTGCAGCCCTGCCTGGACCAGCCCACCCCCAGTCCTAGCTCTCATGCTCACCAGTGGAAACAGCTGGCCCATAAGGGAATCCCCTAGGTTCTACTACCAGGCCTGCTCCCAGCCCTGAGTCTTGTGTGTGCCAGCAGCTGCTACAGCCCATTCTAAGATGGCCTGTCCCCAGTCTTGGCATTTGCTGGAAGCTGCAGCCTGTTGGCCACTAATTAAAAAGGTAGTAATTTTATTACACTCACACCACTCTAGGCATTAGAATTTCTTTTCCCAATCTGATCAAATCCAAAGGAGGAAGAGAACATCAGATATGAAAAGTCATTTTAAATTAGGAACAGAGATAGCAACAACCTTTCTGCTTCCCTACTAGCTATATCTTATCAGCTGTATAGTTCACAGTGGTGAAAACTCACATTTTAAAAAAACTGTCTTTTTAAAAAACATTTATAATTGAAAAGTTCAGAAATGCAGAGAGATAGATGAACAGAAGGACACCTTGCATGTCCTGGTTTACTCCCCAAATGCCCACAACAACCAGGCGTAGGACAGCCTGAAGCCAGGAGGTCAGAACTCAATCTAAATCTCCCACAAGACTGACTGGGACCCAAGTACTTGAGACACCACATGCACATTAGCAGAAAGCTAGAACTAGAAGCAAAGCTGGGATTTGAATAAGACACCCCTAACTGGGAGGTGGCATCCTAAGTAGCATCTTAACCACTGCTTTTGGTTTCTATATAAACACTGCAGCACAGATACCAAAACAAATGAAGGATGGTTAAATAAATATGTATTCTAATGGTAAGGACACAGAATTCCTAACTTTATTTAAAAAAAAAAAGGTCCCCAATGGAGTAGCCTGGGGGTAAAGTCCTTGCCTTGCAACTGCTGGGATCCCAAGTGGGTGCTGGCTTATGTCCTGCCTATTGCACTTCAATTCCAGCTCCCTGCGTGTGGTCTGGGAAAGCAGTAGAGGACAGCCCAATGCCTTGAGACCCTGCATCCATGTGAGAGACTTGGAAGACACTCCTGGCTTTGGATAGGCTCAGCTCTGGCCCCTTGGGGAGTGATCTGGAAGATCTTTCCCTCTATCTCTCCTCTCTGTGAATCTGCTTTTCCAATAAAATAATTAATTAATTAAATATATTTTTTTTAAATGGCATACTCTAACTAAATACTGAGAGGAAAAACACCTTATAGATATGGTCCTTTCCAAGCAGTAGGCCCTAGCTACTCATGCCTACTTAAATTCACTAAGTTAAATTAAAACTTCAGGGGCCAGCACCATGGTTCAACAGGATAATCTTCCATCTTCAAGTGCTAGCATCCCATATGGCCACCAGTTTGTGTCCTGGCTGCCCGACTTCCCATCCAGCTTCCTGATTATGGTCTGGGAAAGCAACAGAGGATGGTCCTTGGGACACTGTACCCAAGTGGGGGACCCAGAAAAAGCTCCTGGCTTTGGATCGGTTCAGGTCCAGCTGTTGCGGCCAACTGGAGAATGTACCAGCGGATGGAAGGTCTTTCTCTCTGTAAATCTGCCTTTCAAATAAAAATAATTCTTAAAAAAAAAGAAAAAGACTTCAGGCCTTAAGTCACAGTAGTCACATTTCAAGTGTTCAACAGCCACATGTGGCAAGCAGTTATTATAATGGACACAAGATACATATGGGACATCTTCAAAAATAGAAGGTATAGACAGATGTAACTGAACTTTTAAGGGGGATACCCTACTAACTGCATTAAGTGAATGAAAATTTGTACATAAATCAACAGAAACCTGAAGGGATGGAAGACCATTTCTCTGGTGCTAAACCTGCAAGAGGGAAAGAAATGCATGCGACTTACATCCGTTTTTGCTTTAACACCCTCAAGGCTTTCTGCTTGACCATATTCTGAGGAAGAAAACAGACTTAATTACAAACAAGTAGAAAATAGACACATACAAAGATAAACCGTCCATATTCCTTGACTCACATGCCTACAAAGGAAGCAGACACCTGGCTCTGGTTCTGCAGGGCCACCTGGAAGGCCCCGTCTTGAAGCTCTCGCTCCCAGCTGCCCGTGCATCCCATACTCTCAGTGTTCGGGACTCCTTTTCCTTTTCCCAGTACGTATGATCTCTATTTTGAGTTCTGACATTGTATATCTGCCTTAAGCGGGGATTCTGCACTTGGCTCTCCTGCTTTAAGCTTCACTCCCCTAAGCCTCAATCTTGTCTTATAGTCTCCAACCCCTCTAGAAGGAGAACTTTACCTTTCTTCTCTCTGCACTGGAACTCATTGCTGATTTTAAGAACTTACTTTCAAACTGATTCACGCTATCTCTTGACTACCCTCTGGGTCGGGCTCCGCCTCGAGTCTAGGTGGGCTTCATTCTGTGTTGTTCATTCCACACTATCCATTAAGGTGAATGGGAAAAGGCTTTCCCTTTTTGTACATCATTTTATGTTTTCTCCAGTAAGGGAGGACACAGACAATGGCAACTAACATTTACTGAGTGTTTCTATGTACCAGGCATGCCATAAATTCATGCCATGTAAATTACTTTAATCCTTACACTATAAAGTATTTTTCCCATTTTGCAGATGAGAAAATTAGTTAAGTGATACCCTGATTAGATGGTCGATACAGTACAGAGCTGGAAAAAAACTAGTTCCATATGCTTAGTCAATGCAGTTAAATGCAACACTCTGCTCCTACTTAATCAGGGTCACAGCTAGTAGGTGGTGACAGTGTTTTACAACATTGCTTCCAGCCTAGCGTAGTGGTTCAATTAGCTAGTCTTCCCCTTGGAAGCACCAGGAACCCATGTGGGTCCCCATTCGTGTCCTGGTTGCTCCACTTCCCATCCAGCTCCCTGTTGTGGAAGTAGTGGAGGACAGCCCTGAGCCCTGGGACCCTGTGCCTGCATAGGAGATCTGGTTTCTAGCTATGGATTGACTCAGCTCTGGCCATTGTGGCCATCTGGGGGTGTGCCTTTCTGATAAAAATATAAAAACAGAAAAAAAATAAAAAGAAAGAATGCTGGTCCCATGTGCCTCATTTGGCATGCTTTCCCAGCATGCCATTCCTAAACAATCTATCACACACACCTAAGCTGACCGGCCTGACGAGTCACTGCTCCTGGGCACAACCTGGCCCTGCTCTGTCACGTTCTCAGCAGTATATGTTGATTCTGTGTACATATTTCTGGAGCTAGGATCAGCATCATCTCCCTATCGGGCCACACCTTGGCCTTCCTCTAATGATGCCTTGTTCTTTCACCAAGCTATGAGCATTTCTTCTGTATTCTTCACCACCTCCCACCCCAGCCCTCTTTCTGCGGTGCTTCAGGTAGCACACTCTGCTCCTCAGGCAGCCGTTGCTGCCCGCCTTACCTTTGCAGGGCCCTCTCTCATCTTCTTGATCTGATCCTTGTATTTCACCAGCTCAGCATCCAGTCGGGAAATCTTCTTGTCAATGGATTCGGCCCGGCTGTCCACCTTGGAGAGAAATATCAAATGTGGTCACAGTGATTGCACTTAACATGGGAAGGTGCTGGAGAAAAGGGGTATGGAGGAAGAAACAAAGAATGGTGAAGGATAATGGCAGGAAACAGCAGCACACACAGGGGGTTCTCTAGATTCTAATACCAGATCTCCCTTAAATGTACTGGGGGCCGAATAATAACTGGAGAATCAGGGTTCTAAGCTGAGGTTTTCACTGGCATTGGAGACCAGGGTGGAGGTTCAACAAGCATGCAGTGGACAGTGAGGGGAGGGACCAGGGTTCTTAATTTTGCATCACTATGATGCAAACACCAAGCTGAGGGTTCTAACACGGAGTCAGGCTGAACATGATGGGAAGGGTATAGGGGGCCAAAACGGCTGGCTGGAGTGCAGAGGATCAGAGTGCAGCGTGTGGAGGGGGCAATGGGTCAGGTACGGGTAAGGCGAGCTAGTGATGGGGCCAAGGGGTCCCTGGCTTGTGGCATCGGAAGGACAAGGGTCACAGGAATGAAGGAGGGAAGGTGCGATGGAGGGTTGGGGAGTGATGGGCCCAAGAATGGGGAGGAGGGGTAGGCGCCCAGGGACCGGGGGTGGGCGGGGTCGGGATGTCAAGAGTCCCTGAGCCGAGTCCTTCAGGGTCAAGTGCCCACCGTGCCAATGCAGTCAGTCAGGCTGGGTGGCGGAGCCTTGGGTTTCGCTTTCCCGAAGAATCGGTTCATCTTGGGCGGCCGCGGAGAGTACCCAAACACTGGAGCGAAATCAGAAACGGAAGCAGAATCACTCCCGGTCCGACTTCCGGGCCCCCCCTCCCACGACACCACCACGCGCAAGCGCGATGTGACTGACTGGAGTTTCCCGAACCTTTTTCCGGGTTTTCAGCTTGGCCTTCCGGGGGATGGGGGAGAAGGGCCAGAGGATTGGGGAAGGCGGGAAGGGAGCCTCCGGGGGCGGGGCCTCCGTGATGTGGTGGGCGGGGTTTCCTGTGTGCAGGGCGGGGCCCAGGCTCGTTGGGTGGGGCTTGGGGCGGTGGCTTTAGCGGATGAGGCGGGGCAGGAGCCGGCCGGCGCCGAGAGGCGGGTCCGGGAGGCCGGGGCAGGGTGGCGGGACGCGGCGCTCGGCTCCCACGGCTGCTGGGCGGCCGACAAGCGCGGGCCTGGCGGAGCGCGGCCACGCGCGGAGACCTCGCGGCGATCGGGGCCAGCTGGGCCCCCGGCGGCGCGCTCCTCGGTCCGGCCGGGAGTCGCGCCCGTCGGAGGCCCTGGCCGAAGGCCGCCAGCAGGCCTCTCGTCGTCCATCCCTGAGGAGTGCAGCCAGTGGACATGACCGATCCACCCGGGGCGCCGCCTCCGGCGCTGCCAGGCCGCGGATGAAGAAGAAAGCCCGTACCCGCTCGGCCCGGAGCGAGGAGACGCCGCGAGACGAGGAGGCTCCGCAGGTGGAAGAGGTGCCCCCGGCCGAGGAGGTTCCGCCGCCGGCCGAGGACGTGATCCCGAACGAGGTGACCCAGGCAGAGGAGCTCACCGGGACCGAGGAAATGGCGGCAGCCGGGCTCTGCGTGACCGTCACCCACAGTGAGCGCGGGCGGCAGGGTGGGCCCGGTGCGGAGCTCGAAAGGTCCGGCCACGAGTCCTCCGGGAGAGTGTCCCGGAGCGTGGGCTTCTCGGCTGTGTCCGTGGAGCCAGCTTGTGCGTGGAACTTGTGTCCTCACACCTTTGCTTGTGGCCAGGTCTTGGGCACTTGTTGGGACCTAAGTGTTGCGCGGGTTCGTGCCTCACCGCTGGGCCAGACTGTGTGTGTGTGAACGCGGGTTTGTGCTTTACCGTGTGTGTGTGTGTGTGTGTGTTGCAGGTTCTGTGTCCTGTGTGTGTGTGTTTGATTGCAGGATCTGAATTGTGTGTGTGTATAATCACAGGTTCTGTGTCATGTGTATGTATTGCAGTTTCTGTGTAGTGTGTGTATGTGTGTGAATGTGTTTGTAATTGCGGATTCTGTGTCTAGTGTGTATATGCGAGATTGTGGGATCTGTGTCTGATGTGTCGCGGGAATCTGTGTGTGTGTGCATGTTCAGTCGAAGGTTCTGTGTGTGTGTGTGCGAGCGAGATTGCAGGATCTGTGTCGGGTATGTCGTGGGATCTATGTCAGGATGTGTATGTGTGTGTGTTTAATCGCAGGTTTTATGTCCTGTGTGTGTGTGTGTGTGAGTGTGTGTGTGTGATTGCGGGTTTTGTATCCTGAGTGTGTGTGCTTGATCATGGGATCTGTGTTGTGTGTATGTATAATTGCGGGTTCTGTGTCCTGTTAGCATGTGACTGTGTGATTATGGTTCTGTGTCTGGCTTGTACGTGGTGGTGCTGTGTCTGCCTGCAGTGGGTCAGGACACCTGCGCCTGTGAGGAGTCATTCCGATTCCATCTAGTTTGGGTCTCCACAGGCAGATCTTAATTGAGTCAAACTCAGTCTGTGTCTAAGCAGTAGCATACATGTTTTGGTGGGATTGTTTTTGGTATATAAAATGAGTCTAGTGCCAGCCCCTCACGTGTGTTTTAAATGTACCTCTTGTGCCTCCTGTTAGGTATTGTGTGAGAGCAAACAAAACTCCTGCAGCAGATCACCAGAGGAAAGCAGTGCTGCTGGGAGCCTAGGGCCAGGGCTTGAAGGCTGGTGCTACACAGATGTAATACAGTGTCAGCCTGGGTCGCTGTATGTGAAAGAATCCATCTTCATTCACCACTTTTCTGTCTCCTCAGGCAATGAGAAGCATGACCTTCACGTTATCCCCCAGCAGGGCAGTAGCGAGCCACTCGTCCAAGACCTGGCCCAGGTTGTTGAAGATGCCATAGGGGTTCCACTACCTTTGCAGAAACTCATTTTTAAGGGTAGGCATCTTTTCCAGCTTTGAATCCTGATGGCTAACGGACAGATTTAAAACTGCTTAACGTTACTCAAAGGGAATTCTGTTTTCAAACTGGGCCATTCGTTCCTTCGGCAGATGCTTACTGAGGGTTTGCCTTGTATCTGACACATTTGTTCATCTGAACAGGCATCAGATTTGAAACCACGTGATGACAGAAATTTCACCATTGTGTACGTACATAATCGGACCTCCCTGGCTAGGTTAGATCTCCCCACTGTGTGTTCACATGGTACTACCTATCATTTCTGCATGCCTTGTAATGAGATTGCTATTAAAGAGTTGCTTTCTTAGTTGCTTAACATAAAACTTTGTTAAGTGTTAGGTTAGGGGTACTGTCTTGTGTCTAGTGCTTGACATTGTGCCAACTTAGAGGAAGTTTTTTATTAATTTTTATTTACTGAAAGGCAGAAAGACAGAGATCCTCCATCTACCAGTTCACTCTCCAAATGTATGCAACAAGTTGGGACTGGTCAGGCCAAAGTTAGTATCAGAAACTCAGTCTGGGTCTCCCATTGGGTGACAGGGATCCACAAAATTGAGCCATCCCCTGTTGCCACCTAGGTTGTACATCAGGCTATGTAGTAGGAACCTGGGACTGACAGTGGAGCAAGTGCTAGAACTCAGATAAGGTTTGCAGGCATTCTAAGTGTCAACTTGACCTTTGTACCAAACTTATGACAGGCTTGAATATTGCAGGCCTAGTTGATAATGCCTGTTTATATTTGAACCCACTCCCTGCCCACCTCTATCCTGTCTTCCCCCGCCTGTGAAAACCCAATTGTAGTGTCTGATGGGGATAGACTTATCTCATCGGGTGCCAGTTGTTATAAAGAATTTAGTGATAGATAACATTTTATTATTTCATAGTACAATTGCTTATCTTTTCTTTTTTTAAAATATTTTATTTAGGGCCCGGCGTGGTGGCACAGTGGTTAAGGGCCTCGCCTTGCACGCCCGGGATCCCATATGGGTGCCGGTTCTAATCCCGGCAGCCCCGCTTCCCATCCAGCTCCCTGCCTGTGGCCAGGGAAAGCAGTCGAGGACGGCCAATGCTTTGGGATCCTGCACCTGCGTGGGAGACCCGGAAGAGGCTCCTGGCTTTGGATTGGCATAGCATTGGCCATTGCGCTCACTTGGGGAGTGAATCATCGGATGGAAGATCTTCCTCTCTGTCTGTCCTCTCTGTATATCCGCCCTGCCAATAAAAATAAAATAAATCTTTAAAAAAATATATTTTATTTAAAGATTTGTTTTATTTAGCAGGCAGAGTGACAGAAGGAAAAACAGAGAGATTGACCCTCCATTTGCAGTTTCACTCCTCAAATAGCCATAATGGCTAGGGCTGAAGCCAAGATCCTGGAGCCTCATCTGGGTCTCCCATGTGGGTGGCAGGTGCCCAAGCATTTGGGGTGTCTTTCATTGGCTTCCCAGGTACATATGCAGGAAACTGAATCTGAACTGGATCAGCGGGGACTGGAACTAGCATTCTGATATGGGATTCTGGCTTTACAGAGGGTGGCTTAATCCATTGCACAACTCCAATTCTCTCTTTAAAAACAAAACAAAACAAAAATTTCATTTCTGAACTATAAGAACAATAGATATTCATGTTTCAAAACAGACAAAATCATAAAGGAGAACATTCCTCTGGGTGTAGCTCTATATAATACTTTACATTTCTTTCTTATGATGAATTTTTTCTTAAAATTCATTGTGTCATTGAAGATTCTTGAAATTTAAAAAAGCTTTAATGCTTATAAAGTCTTCAGTGGTATTTTTAAACAGCCCCCTATTCCCGCATACTTGACTCTTTCTGGTTTCTCACTGTGATGAAGATTGTACTGAGCATTATCATATAGTAGTCACTGTGTAGACACGTGCAATAGTTACTTACGACAAATGTCTAGAAGTATAAAGTTACTTAAGACACCCTCCAAAAGTGTTATACTGAGAGAGAAGACAGAACAGGTCAACCAACCATCTCAGCTATATCTTGGCAACGAAATACGGGGCAAACAGAGACTCTATGATGGACTATGTCAATCAGTGGATTCTTCAACGACCTCACAGTGCTTGGAGTGTCAAGATTGGAAGCGATTCATAACTGTTGAAATATCAAAACCACTTGACCAAGAACCTCAGAGCTTACGCTACATCCGGGACCTGGGGAGGGTGGGAAATTGGGTGGGCCTTCTCCCTTAATACCCCACTTTAAACATGAAGGAAACAATATGGGAAAAATAATAGTCTTACCCACTTTCCTGTAGCCCTTGAACCTTTTTACCCTGATTAACTATGTAAAGATTGTCAATAAAAAAAAAAAGTTAGACTGATTTATCATCGATTAGTGAATAAACTTGTCTATTTCTCGTACACTTGTTAAAAATCTATATTCAGTGTGTTACACAATTGTGACAGCTTGGCATACCTGTCTCCTCTTTTCAGGAAGATCTCTGAAGGAAATGGAGACACCATTGTCAGCCCTTGGAATACAAGATGGTTGCCGGATCATGTTAATTGGGGAAAAGGTAAGTGGCTTTTTCCATCCAGAATCCCTGACTCTGAGCAGACTCAAGGCTTTCCTATGTGATTCTATTGAGAAAGTCAGACAGGACCTAGATTCCGCATGGGTGACAAGCGCCTCTTCACACAAACACAAGTCTCCATTTGTTGGATGGGGTTATTGGGTGTTCTTGTATCTTCCTGCTCCTTTTGGTCAGGCCTTGAGCTCCAGGACCTAGGCTGGCTGTGTCTCCTTGACAATGTGGCTTTGTCATGGTGGTGGGATCTCTGGCTTAGTGTCTGAAACAGACCTCATTCACTCTGAGTGAAATCTGCAAGGGAGTTTTTGGCTAAAAGAAACCTGGAAATATTTAAATAAATAAATAAGTACTATGTGCCAGTTTTAAGAGCTTTTCTCCCTTTACTTTTTTTTTTCCCCTCCCATGAGAGGAAAACCTTCTTTATCAGACTCAGTTCTTTCCCAGGAGTCAGTTGGTGGTAGGGGAAGGAGGTGGCAGGTGACAGTAGTTGCCCTGAAATGATGAGAGAGGAATGGAGCAGCCCTACATTGTGACACAGTGGGATTGTTGAGCTTGTGAAGTTTTTTGAGGTGGCCAAGCAGAGTGACAGCTGATTTTAGCCAAGTTGGGGCAAAGAATCTAATATAGACTTGAAACTGTCAAAAACCTGGGCCTCAGGATTTGGCCACAAAGAGAAGTGAAGTTTGGGAGAGTGTAACAAACTTTGCCACCCAGTGTTTTGGTAAAAGAGGGGAAACATTTTCTAAAATCATGGAGAATGAGGATGGGCAGGGGGCAGTACCCAAGGATGGAGTTTGAAGAGTTGGGGACTGCCCCAGGGTGTAAAGAGCCTAGTCGGAATTCAAGTTGCCCTGCCTCTTTTGGCTGAGTGACCTCAGGTTACTGTCTTATCTTCAGTTTCATCCTTTGTAAAAGTACTTCTCACAGGGTTGTGGTAAAACTTAAGAAAGTAATATAGGACAGGTATTGTGGCACAGCAGATTGAGTCACCACCTAGGACCTGCATCTCATCTGAGTGTACCAGCGATCATGTCTTTCTTTGGTTCATATCTAGCTTCCTGCTGGTGCGCACCTAGAAAACAGCAGGTGATGTCTAAAGTGATTGAATGTCTGCCACCTGTGTGGGAGACCTGAATGGAGTTTCTGGCTCTTGGCTTTAACCTGGGTGTTTAAGGAGTAAACCATCACATAGGGGCTCTCTGTGTCTGTCTCTCTGTGTCTCATCTCTTGTCCCTGTGTCTCTGTTGTTCTGCCTCTCAAGAAAGAAAAAAACATCATGAAGGCAATGTGTCTAGGATAGTGGCTGGCAGGGCCAGCATTGAGGAATGAGACAATGGATGGAAGATATTGCTCTCCCTGTCTTCCTTTCCTTCTCTACCTTTCTCTCTGATGCTCTATGTTTTATAAAACATATAAAGATATATTTATTTTTATTGGAAAGGCAGATATACAGAGAGGAGGAGAGACAGAGAGGAAGATCTTTCATTCACTGATTCACTTCCCAAGTGACCACAGTGGCCAGAGCTGAGCTGATCTGAAGCCAGGAACCAGGAGCTTCTTCCGGGTCTCCCACATGGGTGCAGGGTCCCAAAGCTTTGGGCCATCCTCTACTGCTTTCCCAGGCTACAGGCAGGGAGCTGGAAGGGAAACAGAGCCGCTGAGATTAGAACCGACGCCCATATGGGATCCTGGCGTGTGCAAGGCGAGGATTTCAGTGACTAGGCTACAGCACCAGGCCACATGTGTATATTTTATTTAAGTGTAGTGGCTGGTGTATAGGGAATATTCAGTAGCTGTGTTGGCTTTTTATTATAGTCATCTTATTGAAACAGAGATCTCACTTCAGAGGCAACAGTAAAATGATAATTTTGCTTGTCTTGGCATTCTGGACTCTTTGTAGTGAGTGACTCACTGTAATTTGTTTACCCTCCAGGTTTCTGTCTGGCTGTTGATCAGCCTGGGTCTGAGGTTGAATCTGACACTTTGATTGTCTCTCTTCTCTGAATTCAAGCTGCCAGGACCCTCCCTGGAATGTTTACCTGACATCTCCCTCTGGCCTGAATCTTTGTATTTAAGAAATTTCCAAGTATAACCCTTTGACTTGGTGTTCACAGAGTAACAGAGTTAAGACCCCTCTTTAGATAAGTTGTTTATCCCAGTTACAGTCAGATTTTTTTCCAACTGGAGGCTACTGTTCTTGGTGATTATTGACTTCATTTTATTCTTAAACATTTTAGAACTGTCCAGAGGAAGAGGTTGAACTAAAGAAGTTGAAAAATTTGGAGAGGTCTGTGGAGAAGATAGCTAGCCAACTTGAAGAGCTGAATAAAGAACTTAGTGGAATCCAACAGGTAACTTCTTTCCTTAGCTTTGGCTTGCTACCTTCTATAAGAACTGTGAGTAGAGTGCAGCCAGGCTGCTCCATTTCTGATTCTGCTCCCTGCCTGTGGCCAATGAAAGCTGCAGAGAGTGGATCCAGTACTCTTGGGTAGACCTGCTACATGTGGGAGACCTGGAAGACCCTCCTGGTTCCTCTCTTCAGATTGGCTCAGCTCTGGCCATTGTACCCACTTAGTGGATGGAGGATTTCTCTCTCTCTCTCTCTGTCTCTTCTCTCATTATAAATTTGTCTTTTCAATGAAAATAATTAAATCTTTGAAAAAAAAACAACAAAAAAATCTCTTGCTTCATGTTGTCAATCTGCATCTGTGGCTCTCAGCTTGAGAGCTCTGTGTGATCCAATCCTTGCTCCATCTAGTTGGGTGTTGGATAAAGAAATGTGAAACACTGTGATTCAGTGAAACCTTGGCGGGGGGAAACAATGACTGGCCACTCCCATTTTTTTTTAAAGATTTATTTATTTTTATTGGAAAGGCAGATATACAGAGAGGAGGAGAGACAGAGAGGAAGATCTTCTGTCTGGTTCACTCCCGCAATGGCTGGAACTTAGCCGATCTGAAGCCAGGAGTCAGAAGCTTCTTCCAGGTCTCCCACGCGGGTGCAAGGACCCAAAGCTTTGGGCCATCCTCGACTGCTTTCCCAGGCTACAGGCAGGGAGATGGATGGGAAGTGGGGTCACCGGGATTAGAACCGGTGCTCATATGGGATCCTGGCATGTTCAAGGTGAGGACTTTAGCCACTACACTATTGTGTTGAGCCTGGCCACTCGCATTTTTGAGCATCTGTCTGTTTGAGGAGTTGTATTAAACATCTTTGTTTATTCTCCAAGGAGTATACTAAGGACACCTGGGGCAGGCATTGAACACAGCAGTAAGATGCCAGTTAGGATACCGTCATATCCCTAATCACACAGTCTGGGTTCAGGGCCAGCTCTTGCTCCTGATTCTGGATTCTTGCTGGTGCAGCCTGAAGGTGGTAGTGATGGCTTGAGTGGTTGGCATCTTGCTAACCATACGGGAGAATTTAGTTGGGTTTCTGGCTCCAACCTATAGCTCCCAGTTTTGACTCACACCCTGGTCCAGGGCCATTGTGGTCATCTGGGTTAGTAAGAGTGGATGGGAACTCTCAAAGAAAAAAATCAATAGATATTTTAAATAATGAGGGTTTCATGCCATGGGCAGTCTTATAAGATCACAAGCTGGTATGTAGCAGTCAGGATTAAAGCCTACTTGCTGCTCAACCTGTGCTCTTAGAGTCGCTTCCTGTGTGCAGGACTGGGACTGAGGGCTTCAGCAAAAGTAGCGTCCCAGAGGGTTGTAGGAGATAGAGCAGCCTACAACCTTTGTGTTATTGCCAAGAATAAGTTTTGGGCCTGAGATGTGAACAGGCCTGTCAGAGCAGTGATAGACTCAGGGTTTCGTCATATCATTGATACAGTTTTCCATGAGCCTCAAAGAGCTCTTATGATAACCTGTTATTTCTCCATAGGGTTTTCTGGCCAAGGATTTGCAAGCAGAAGCTCTCAGCAAGCTTGACAGGCGAGTAAAAGGCACCATTGAGCATTTTATGAAGATTTTGGAGGAGATTGACACTCTGGTAAGTGAGCTGAGAACTAGTTTTCTGTGACATTCCTTTGGTTCATTTCACTCTTTCAGTAACTCCATCCAATTGCCTGAACAAGCCCATTCTTCAAGCGCATTGAATGTCTCCCACTGTGTGAACACACCAAAGAGTCAGTCCCGATTTGTAGATACTCATAACTCAACCAAGGGCTTTTTTTTTTTTTTTTTAGAATTGTTTGAAAGGTAGAATTAGATATCTTCCATCCATTCATTGCCCTGCCCCAATGGCTATAACAGCCACAATGGCCAAGGCTAAGCCAGACTGAAGCCAGGAGCCAAGAGCTTCTTATAGATTCAGGGGCCCAAGTACATGGGTCATCTGCTGCTGCTTTCCCAGGGACATTAGCAGGGAGCTGGTTCAGAAGTGGAACAGCTTTGAGCTGGTGCCTGTATGGAGTACTGAAGTCATCAGTGGTAGCTTAATGTGCTATATCACAATACTAGCCCATAAGAAAGGGCTTTTGTCATATATGTTCATGTATGCTGTTAGTATCTGTCAACATCATATAGCTGGAACCCAAGTGGTCCCTGATGTCATGATCAAAAAAACCACAAGTGTGATGGCTCAATAGCTAAGTCCTCATTTGGAAGAGGTGGCATCCATATGCACACCAGTTTGTGTCCTGGCTGCCCCGCTTCTCATCTAGCTCCCTGCTTATGGCCTGAGAAAGCAGTAGAGGATGACCCAAAGCCTTGGAACCCTGCACCCGTGTGTGGGAGATCCAAAAGAAGCTTCTGGCTTCAGATTGGCTCAGCTCTAGCCATGCTGCCATTTGGAGAGAGAATCAGTGGATAGAAGATCTTTCTGTCTCTCCTCTCCATAAATCTGATCTGCCTTTCTAGTAAAAATAAAGTAGATGTTTAAAAACGAAGCTACGGGGCTTCCTTTCTCTGTTCCTCATGTAACTAACACTTCAGTGAGCTCATCTCTTTCTCTGTAGAATTCCAGTAGGTCCACATCTTGTGAGGCTATGAGCATCATTGAGCCAAGCTTCACACAGACAAGTAGTGATGGCATTTCCAGTCTGGGGCCCCTGTCTTGCTGTGAGCTTCTCTGAGCTTTAGATGCAGCCGAGGCAGGAAGGTGGGGGCTGAAGGCAGGTTTTGCAGACAAACAAAAGGTGCTTTTCTAAGTCATGGTGAGTCATGGCGTAGCCTGGCAGGGTAGGCTAACACAGGAAACAGTGAAAGCACAAAGTCTCTTCTACATTAGCTTCAGTAGTTCCAACATTGAGGACAAAGGACACTTTTACAGGGATGGGAGCCGTGGAAAGGGCCATATAGGAAACAGAGCTGGGGAAGTGATTGCTGAAAATGCACGTCTCATTCACATCAGGGTCTGCTATGTTCCTGAAAGATTCTCATTTCTTTTTCACAAAGGATTGCTTATGTGTCAACTCATTTTTTCATAGATCCTGCCAGAAAATTTCAAAGACAGTAGACTGAAAAGGAAGGGTTTGGTGAAAAAGATTCAGGTGAGTTCTGTGGTAGTAGAGGACAAAGTGGCAGTATGTTGGGTTCATGTTTATGTATGTATTTGAAGCTGGGTAATGTAGAAGTGTGTGGAGCATTGCTTTTTTCGGGTACTACTTATCACCTTGAACTCAGCATATCAAAAAGAGTTTCCTTCGTGTCCCTGTGGTAATATTTGAATTTGAGCTATTTAAGGGGGAAGCACCCTGGAGAACAAGTAGGACTAACATATTGCATATTTCTGCAAGGCCCCATTCTCGTGTCCCCTGGAGATGAGCAATTGCAGTGCAGCAGCCCCGAGGCAAGGCACCCTGTCCTTAGGTCTCTTAGGCAGTTGTTGATCTAGAACATGGTCAGAAACCCTGGTGCTGGGCCTTCCTGCTCTCTTCTGTTCTCCCACTACCTTAAAGCCCAGGTCAGGTGCCCTTCATACACACATGAATTGCTCAGAATGGCTCTGTGTGGGCATTGCGTTGGCTGGCCTCAGCAGGCCGCCTCAGCAAGCCCTCACTGCTCTGTGTGTCTATCTTTTAGGCATTCCTAGCTGAATGTGACATGGTGGAACAAAATATCTGCGAGGAGACTGAGCGACTCCAGTCTACAAACTTGGCCTTGGCCGACTGATGTGCCATGAAGAGAAGCAGTGCTGCCCTGAAGAACGGTGTCACCAACTTCTTGGCCAGGATCTCTCTGGGCTGCAAAGGGCAATTGGCCAGCTGCTGGATTTCCCCCTCCTACAGCAATTCTCTGAAAAAGTATTGTCTTTGCCACCTGACGTTAGCGCTCCTGTCTGTTTTCTCTGTCCCATGTGGCCATGCTGTATAGCAGCCTACCTTTTCTGGAAAGGACACCCTCTACCCAAGCTTCTCTAGCTCTTTAACTTTCAGGTGCCTTCTTTGGGCTGGAGAGAGCTTGTTTGCCCTGGGTGAGTTCCAGATTTATGGGCTGCCTTGGCCTTCAGGTACACAAGAGGTTTCTTGCCATAGTGTTCCCACAGCCTCATAGATGTAAACCAGAATCACCAGATAGCTGGATCCATTCAGAAATACTGAGTGGCTTGGGATAGGTGTTTGCCACACGGACAATCCAAATATCCCCCGATGTAACCCAGCTCCTGAGCATCTGGCTGAGTTGTTGGTTTATAGACTCTGCCCAGCCCTGGGGCCATCCTGTAGGGGACTTGAGATGTACAGATTTTCCTGTCCCTAAGCAAACCTTCAGCAGAGGGTGAGAACCCAGAGCAGGCTGAAGCCAAGCCACAGCTGTGGTTTAGGAAGTGCTGAAGAGGGAGCCAAATAGAGTAAAGCAGGTGGCCCAGGCCAAGGCAAAGCTCAGGAGTGACGTTTCCTTCAAAGGCATTTCTATTACTCACACCCTCATGGGAGCAGTTGTTTCCCTCATGGTTGTTCTTGTCCGTCCCCTCATCCCCTCCCCTCCCCATTCCTCCCATTATTAAAAAGTGTGTGTGCCCTTCATCAGGCAGGAGATTATTTTGTTTCCATCTTGTGGCTCTAGTCATATTTCCTCCCCATATGGTTCTGGTCCTGCATGCTGGAATTCTTAGCTGCTATCACTTCAGTTTTTCTCTTCTTATTTGTTCTTATATTATTTGAAAGAGATTTTTCATCTAGGTAGCTTGTTCTACAAATTCCCACAGTGAACAGGATCTGGACCAGGCTGAAGACAGACGCCCAGAGCACAGTTTGGGTCTCACACATGGGTGGCAGGGCCCAGTAGCTGACCCATCATCTGCTGCTTCTAGGGTGCCTATTAGCAGGAAGCAGGAACTGTAAGTGGAACTGAAGTCTGTCCCAGGCACCACAGTAGGATGTAGGCATCCCAAACAGTGCTTTAACTCGGGGCCAAACACAGATCCCATGTCACTTCACTGTTTGGCAAAGGGTCCAGGAGACAGGCTTATAACAGGTCACTCTGAGGGCCACTTCAATAAAGAAGGGTTCCCTGATTCCCAGGCACTTAGGGCTGGGTGGGCAAGGCCTCAGCAATGGAGTAGAGGTGGACCAGAGGCTAAAGACTCAGGGGCCAGCCCAACCCACCTCCAACTTTTGTCAGAATGGTTCACAAATTCTATTTTTTTTTTTTAAAGATTTATCTTACTTGAAACGGCTACGAAAAGAGAGGCAGAGAAAGATCTTTCATCTGCTGGTTCACTCCCCCAAATGACAGTCAGAGCAGTGTTAATCAGAAGCTGGGAGGCAGGAACTCCTCCTTCTAGGTCTTTCACATGGGTATGTAGGGTTCCAAGGCTTTGAGCCATCCTCTGCTGCCTTCCCAGGTCATTAGGGAGCTAGATTGGGAGTAGAGCAGCTGGGACTCAAACAGGTGGCCATATGGGATGTTATCGCCACAGGCAGAGGATTAGCTTGCTGCACCACTGTGCCAGCCCCTAATTCTCTTTAAAGATGTGTTAATTTATTTGAATGAATACTAGTACTATAGAAAGAGACAGATCCTCCAACCACTGGTTCAATCCCCAAAAAACTGCAGGTGCTGGGGCTGGTTCAGGCCAAGGCCAGGAGCATGAAGCCCCATCTACATCTCCCTTGTGAGTGGCAGGGGTCCAGGTACTTGGGCCATCTTCCTCTGCTTTCTCAGGCACATCAGCAAGGAGTTAGTCAGAAACCGAACCATGAGGGTGCAAACCAGCACTGATATGGGATGCCAATGTAGCAGGCAGTTGCTTAGCTCTCTGTGCCACAACTCTGGACCCTAATTTTCTGTGTGTGTGGCTTTAAGCCATTGCATGTAATGAGAACTGACTATGCTAGACACGTTTAAGTTCTCCGTATATCAATCTCTTAGCAAGATTTATTTTACTTGAAAAGCAGAGTTATACAGAGAGGGAATAGGACACACAGAGAGGTCCTTTATCCTCTGATTCATTCCCCAAGCAGCTGCAATGGCCAAGGCTGGGTCTGGCTCAAGCCAGGAGCCTGAATCCATCCAGGTCTGCCCTGTTGGATGGTGTGGGCCCTTAGGCCATTTTCAGCTGTTTTCTCAGGTCCATTAGCAGGGAGCTGGATCAGAAGTGGAGTAGCCTGTACTGTGCTTAGCCAGTGTTCACGGGGGATGTCAACCTCACTGGTGATAGCCTAACCTTCTGCATTCCAATTTTGGCCCCAAATGGTAATTTAATCCTCACAGCGCATATACTGTGCTACCTCTTAACCCAGGTAAGGTTGTACATGTCATTCTCTTGTCCCTTCTCTCCATCTCCCTCCATGTTGCTCTCTTCCTTTCCTCTCTCTCAAATTTGTTAACAGGACAAATCTGAATGATCATGAAATGTGATTCAGCCCCAGGCTTAGAAGCCAATGCATGGCTCTCCGTTTGTGTCAGAGTAAAGATAAAAGTCCTTCGCTCATGGCTCCTCCAATCTCATCTCCATGCCTTCTCCTGTTTGCTCTCTACTGTCAGCCACTGCAGTCTTCCTTCAGGGCCTCAGCCGCCCTGAGCCCTTTTCCCAAGGCCACTTCTACTTGAACAACTTGCCACCACCTTTCCTCCACCCCATGCCTTTCCTAGGGGCCTCATCTTCAGAACTTAAACATCTGTTCCTAGAGAAACCTACCTGCTTCTGAGACCCCTGAGTGGGCCTCTCCTGGTTTCCCATACCTTTTCTTGGGAAGCATGTGTCCTAGTTGGAGGGTTTATTTGTATTAGCCTATAACACTAGACTGGAGTTCTTTGGGTTAAAGGGCTTCTGTGTCTTTAATGGCCATGTTTCAAACACACTGACCCACATATAGTAAGCCTGCAGTAGATAATTGGAGAGTGAATGGATGTTTAATGCATCCAACAATACCAAAGTTTCCGCAGAAACTCTGTTGGCACTGGAATCCACACTGTCCATGGACACTGTCTTATTTAAAGGTTGAAAAGAGGCCACAAGCACAGGAACCAGAGCTGGGGGTTGGTCCAGTGAGGGTTATTGAGGGTTGCTCTGATTGGGTTGCAGCTCCCCCTGGTGTACTTGAGGGCTGATCATGTGGCCAGCAGGGCTGGGTCCCTGCACCCACTGATTTACAGAGGAAGGAGAAATAGAACAAATTAGTCAACTACTCCAGCAAAACTTGATAGCAAATTTCTGGACGAATGGAGACTAAGGTGGACTATGTCAGCCAATTGACCTTGGAGGAATTTCCTCATCCTTGAAGTGGCGAGATCAACAGCATCTTGGAACTGTCAAAATCACTTGGCCAGAACCCTTAGAAAATGCTCTATACGGGGACCCTGGGATGACATTGGCTGGTCCCCATTGTTGGGTACTGAGGCGGTTGGGAGGCTGGATGTGGTTTCTCCCCTTGTCTGCCTCCTTCCTCTAGATACTAGAAGAAAAAGAAAATGTGGAGATAATGATCTCATCCACTTTCCCCAGCTTCTTGACCCTTCCCACCCTGATTAACTATATAAAGATCATCAATAATAATAAAACTTTTAAACAAACAAAAAGGGGGCCACGAGGCACAAACTGCTGGTCACTAAGGGTGGCAACGGGGACCTGTGCCTGTGTACACAGGGCTCATGCACACAGACCTGCTCCTCCATGGGGTGACCCTGCCTGGGAGCAGGGAAAAGACAACTCTTCTTAGTTGTCCTCTGTCCTGGGACAGAATCAGACCTGCTGCAGGTGTGTGGTCCCACAGACTGGCCCTTCAACCTCAGAGAATTCTTTCTCACATTGCCTAGTGGATTGGTAGCAATTTCTACTTATTCCTTCAGATCACCTCTTAAGCCCTTTGTGTGCTAGTCAGGCTCTTACTTGAAAGCACCAGAAGCCTAATTCCAAAGTAACTGGAAATTTGGTAGAAAATTGATGGGCAAGATGGCAAGTTACTCTCAGAGTTTTGGGAAGGTCAAGAGTAGGTGGGCTTCAGGAATGCAAGCATGGCCCCAAATCATTCTCCCTATTTCTGAATATCCACACATTCTCAGTCTTCTTTCTTCCATGAAGTAGGGAAAGTAGCAACCAGCAACTCCAACGTCACACACCTTGCAGCTTTCCTATCAGAGAGGAACTGCCTCTGTTTTCTTGTTGGCAATTTAAAAAATCCTAGAGAACAATCTTATTGTTTTTGAAGGTTTATTTATTTATTTGAAAGGCAGAGCATCAGCAAGAGAAGGAGAGATCTTTCATCTTCTGGTTCATTCCCCAGGTGACCACAACAGCCAGGATTGGATCAGGCCAAAGCTAAAAGCTGGAAATTTCATCTTGGTCTCCCACAATGAGTGGCAGGAACCCAAGAACTTGGACCATCTTCTTCCTTCCCAGGAGTATTCACAGGGAGCTGGGTTGGAAGCAGACCAACCAGGATTTGAACTCGTGCTCTCATGTGACATGTCATCACAGGCTGCTTAACTCACTGTCCCACAACACTGTCCCTGAGCAGAAACTTTAGATGTCACCAGTGTCTACATTGTCCTATTATAAGTGAACTCCTAATTTTCAGTTTAACAAATGGCTGGCCAGTTAGAGACTGCTTTTTTCGATTCCTGCTCCAGTGTGGTCCACTCGTTGACTAGGTTTGAGCCAATGGAGTGTAAACAGTATTATAAGGCTAGTTGTAGAAGTTTATGGAAAATGGAATTAAAAGTTTTGGAATTCATCATTGTTTTCCATAATACACATGTTCCATGAACTTTCTGAAGACTGCATGATCTTATGGGAAGTGTCCTTAGAGGCAGACAGGGTGCCTCTTTCCACCTTTCGTGGCCTGGAATGTAGACACAATGGCTGGAATGGGAGCTGTTACC